TATTAACAACAGCCATTAAAATTAAAATAGAAAATTAAAAAAAAAGTGAGCTTGAAATTAGATTTTTTTTTAATTCAGGCCAAGGCAAACATTTGGTTTGAGCAAAGCAAAGTTTTATTTATTTATTTAAAGCAAAGTCCACAGATGCCGGGTGGCTTTCCTGCATGGAGAGTGCCAGGGGCTGGAGCTGCTCTAGACACCTCTGTGCCGTGCCCAAGCCAAATCCCTGCAAGTCCACGATGGTGCAGCCTTTGGTGGTGGCCAACGTTATGCTTGATAGGAGGGTTTAACCTTTCTTGGGTCGGTGGCAGCTCCTCCCTGTTCAGTGCAGTATCAGCCCTTACTTTTGCCTGGTGCTGTGCCCTGGCCTGGCACAAGGGACAGTGCCACCCAAGGTGCTCTCACCCTGTGCTGTGTCCCTCTCTCCCAGCTGCACAGATCCACCGTGCAACACGCAAAGGGGATGTGTGATGTGCAGCATGGGCTGCCACCGCTGCGCCACGTGCAAGGTGCTACACGAAACATGCAGCGTGCAATGGGGACATCCCTGACGGGCTGCCCTCACCGTGCAACCCGCAGCATAAACCAGGGATGTCCGTGCCAGGCTGTGCTGCTCTAGGGATGCCCTGGAGGAGCGCGCTCCTCCTTCCCCAGGGCTGTGCATCCCCCGTTGCTTGCCCGGTGGCCATGCCCTCTGGACACCCATTTTGGGGGCATGGAGGAGCCTGTGAGGTGGTCTCAGCAGGAGCCCTGTGAGATGCAGGGCGGGGAAAGGGGGGTAGCGACTGAGATCCCCCCCCTGCCGAGCTTCCTGCTGCAGAGGAGCCGTAGCCAAAAAGCGGGCCGGCGGCTGGCATCCTGCCCGCCGCGAGCTGAATCTCCGGCTGCAGTTTGAAGCTCGCAGACAGCTATTTAACACAAACAGCCAAGCTGTTATCTTCTCCCTTAGGGCCACCATGCCTTTCGCTTCTCAAATGCCAAATTACAGCCTACATTTAATTTCAATGCCACGGGGAGATGCATGTCAAGGGAGGGCAGCTTCGTTTAAAATTAGCCGCATTAGCTTAGTGGTGATACAGCTGGGGAGGAGGGTTTTGGAGAGAGAGGCTGCATCCCCGTGAACTTTGGGGGAATTCCTCTGAGCGCATCGAGGATTTGGGGTCTGGCAGAGTCAGGTCTGTGGCATCTGCTGCATCCCTGGCTCCGCAGGGTTGCTGGTTCCAGCTGGGGATGTCTCACATCACACAGGGCTAGGGAAGGGATACAGGGCATGGGAGGCGTGATGCAGAGCTGCTGCAGAGAGATGTGGGTCATGAAGCAATGTTTCCAGCCACCAGCTGCTGTTTAGTTGACCAAGGGGAATTTATAAGGCTCTCTAATGAAAATAACATATCCACAACCCCCCCAAGCAGCACCGATAGGAGCAGGGCACAAGGTGACGGTGGCTTTCCAGGTGCAGTGTTGGCATTGGTGGGATTCCTGCAAGCTTTTGCGGGTAGGTATACATGAAATGAGAGGGAGAAGAGCTGAGCCCTGCTAGTGCACAGCTGCATACTGCTCCAGGAGCCCCCACGGTGCTGTTCTTTGGTGGGGGAAAGGGTCAGAGGAGTTTGAAACCAGCCATGTGCATGTGAAAAGTGTCGGCCCAAGGCTCAAAATCATTTTTTCCTTTATACTGAAAGGCAGAAATGCTGAAATTGTGGGCAATGCATTCACGGGGAATGGTGGTGACAGACAGAAAAAAAAGGGAGGCTGTAATTGCAGGCTTTCACTGACAGCAAAACAACCCTTTAATAATAACTAAATACAAGGAGTTGCAGAGAGCAATCTTCTCCAAAAGAAACAAACACTCGTTTCTCTTTTTTCCTCCTGCTTACCAGAAGCATCTCTGCTACAACAGAGCTGGCTTCCTCTGGCCCTAGGTCCCACCAAGGACTTCCAGCCTCGCTGGTGTGTGGCAGGGGAGGATGAGCCCCAGTGATGCTCCTGCTTCTCCACTTGCAGGGGGTGTGATGGGTTCACAGCAGGGTTCAACATTCCCCGTGCTCCAGGAATGAACCTGGAGTTTAAAACTACTGCAGCCTCAAAATCCCCTGGGGTAGGGCTACTGTAGAGGGGAAACAGGAGCAGGACACGGAGTGAATCAGAATATGGACAAGGTGTCCAGGGAGGCCCCTGATGGGGCTATGGGCAGCAGTGCCATGGGGCAGTGCCACCCCTGCTCTGCTCCATGCTCGGGGCAGAGCCCTACAGGCAGGCTGCAGCAGAAATCCGGGCAGGCACATGGAATCCCATGGCACAGAGATGCTGCTGCACATCCCTGTCACAGGGATGCTCTTGCACATCCCCAACTGCAGAGGTGCTTCTTCATGTCCCCATCACACGTCTGCTTCTCCACAACTCCATCATGGGGATGATCCTGCACAGCAATGCCTCTGGCTGGCCACATCCCTCCAGGCACTTGCCCCAGCTCACCCAGGTGATGTGGGGACCACTGTGGCTCTAGCAGGGCAGAGGAGATGGTGATGGGGCTGTGACCAGTCCAACATGCACTTCATCAGCCCGTCTCTCACAGCACACCAGGACCCTCCAACACTCCCACTTCCAATGGACCATGCTGTCTGGCCCTGCCCCACACAGCAGATCCAAACCCCTCCTTGTGGGCAGCTCTTCCCCACCCCAAGACCACACAAAATGTGGTTTGCCATTCAAGCAGCCAGCTATTCTTACAGCAGGTGAGACAGCGGCGGCAGAGGAAGTGGGGAGCGGGGCCCACAGAGCAGCATCAACATGCGGAGCAGCGTGCCAGCTTGACGGTGCTGGACGGCGTCTAGCTCATCCAGACAAACACCACAGGGAAAGGTGGCGAATTCAGCCCCCAGAATAACAGTGGAGAAGGAGTTTGTTCACCTCGAGCTAGGGACAGCACTGAATCCCTCCATGGGACCTGCTGGTGGGAGCTCCTCATGGCCCCATCTGTATTATTCTGTAAGTTAGGTGCTAGCTCCAATTAGAGAAGCAAGGCCACATCCTCAGCTTGCATAAATCAGCTGCATAACCCCGGAGCTGAAGCCACCCTGCCTGTTCCCTCCTGCTCCCTGGGGGTGGCATTTGGAGTGGGATGCCATTGTGCCCAGTCCAGGCTGACCAAGCCACCGATGCCAGCCCTGGTGCTCGGGAATCCGCCTCCTCATGGGCTTCGACTAATGTGACTTGCATCTGTAATTTACTTTTAAAAGGGGATCCTTGCTTTCTGTCTCTCCGAGCCGCCTGCTGCCTGCTCCTGGATTTTCCAGGCAAAGGGAAGGGGAAGAGGGGTATGAATAAAATATCATCATGACAGCTTTTATATATATACATGAACCCACTCCGCCAGGCTGCAAGCTTCATTTTTAAATAAGAAGCTTGACTCTGTTCCCAAGAGGCCGGGAAAACGCAGCGGGCTTTTAAGAGAAGGGACCAAAACAGAAGAGCATTTTCCTCTTCCATCACATCAGACTGGAGCTGGGTTAATTACGCTTCTCTGTCCTGATTTAAGCACGGGAGCTTTTTCAGTACAACTGTTCCTTTATTAATGAATTGCAACCCAATTTTAACCAGAGGAAGCTGGTGAGGAAGGGAAAAGAAAAAAATTGGAAACCTTTTGCCAGCATGCTCTGTTTGCCACTGCCTTTCATTTACATAACTTCAAAGTGATGCATTTTTTAAACCAACCTATTTTCGGGTTGCTCTGGACTGCACGGGTGCACGGACATCCATGCGGATGTGCCACCCAGCATCTCTCCTCTCTCTGGGCGCCTGTTGCTGCCACAGGGTGCAGCATCTCCTGGGCTGGGATGTGGCTCTCCCAGCGCTGCTGGCTCACTCGGGCACGCATCGCTGTGAGCTTGTGACTGGTGCCTACATCAGCATCCCAGCGCCCCAGTCCTGCTCCAGCCCATCCTCCCCGGGCTGGACCAAGGGGCTCATGGAGGGTGCCCCAGTGATCCGGGGGACACCGTGCCTCTGTGCCAGTCTCACAGGGCACTGCTGGCACCTCGGGGTCCTGCTCTGCCTCCCTGCAGCACCGGGGGAGCCGCGGGCATCGCCGCCCGCCGCCGCGCTGCGGAACCGGGACATATGCTGCGTGTTCACACCGCGGAAACAACACCTGCTCGGCTTCCTGCTCAGCCCCGGCAGGCGCGGGGGGAGCCCCAAGCCCCGGTGCCCCTCAGGGCGTCCCCACCAGCGGGGCTTCCCCACCCGCTTGCAGCCAGCTCAGGGGTGCCCTGAGCGCTGGGGCCTCCCGGGCCAGCCCCGCCGCTGCCCGGGGCCGTGCGAGCAGAGCCGAGGGCAGGTCCCAGCCCCGCCGTGTGCCAGGACCCGGCCCGGAGCTGGCACCCGGCAGCGCACGGGAGAGGTGCCGGGGTGGGGGAGCTCATGCATATTCATGAGCAGAGAATTCGCTGATCAAAAGGCGCAGTCCTGTTTTCCTTTATAATATATCTGGTTAATACGGACTTAATGAACGAATGAATAATAAATTAGTCCAATTTTGTTTTCTTTCTTCTTAGAAAGGCAGGCGCGAAGGGGGACTCAGTGCGGGTTTGATTGATAGCAGGGGCTTGCTGGGAGATCTGCTCCTCAAGCCCTTATTAAATATGAAACAAATAACAGAGCAATTGGTTTAATCTTGTTGCAGCCGCAGATGCCGGCTGGGTAGGGGGAGAGGAGGAAGAAGATGATGGGGAAGAAGGATCCAGCATTGCCTTTGCCCCATGCTGAGGCAGGGCGTGGGGTGCTCCATGCTCCATCACTGCACGGTGCCCACGCAGCACGTGGCCTGGGGTGATGTGAAAGGCACCCCGAGGGGATGGATGGAGTCTGTGCAACAGCAGTTGGATCAAAGCAGGGTCTTCTGGGTTTGGTGGGGCGATACCTGAGGAGATTTCAGCAGAACAAGGGGATGGGCTCCATCAGGGAGGTGAGTTGCGGCCACCCCCTTGTCATAGCCACAACCCTGGGACAGTGGGAGGCCATGGGTCCCTGCACAGCAGCACAGCTCACTGAGCTGGCGCTGCCTCCGCCGGCACGGCTCATTACAGCCCTTGGGTTCATTTCACATCCCACCCGCTGATGCGAAGCAGCAGGAGAAGCTGTTGAGTCACGGGCTGCTGGCACATCCTCCACACAGCCAGTTCATGAGAAGGCGGCTGCCCAGGGCAAAGCCCATCCTGGCCTGGGGTGTTTCACTGGGAGGACTGGAGTTGGCGGGCGAGCTTCCAGGGACACGGATCCCTTCAGAGACACCCTCCTGGCCGCTAACAGGCTTCAAGGCCTGGGCTCCATCCTGGTGCATCCCACCAAGATGCCCAAATCACCCGGGAATGGGAGCATCTTCCTGTGTATGGTCTCTTCCTGACCACAGCACCTGCCTTTCCCCATGACTTGGGTGTCGTGAGTGGCTTTCCCACTCCCAGCACCTCTCTGCCCTGCTAGGAGAGGCCAGGCAATGAGTGTCATGCAGCCCTGCTTACACCACAGGGTCGCCACTCTGCCTGCCCTGATGCTGAGGATGCCCCAGTCCCCCCTGCCTTTCCAGGCAGGAGAAGGTGATGGATGTACCCTGCTCCCTCCCTCCAGGTGGGTGCTCGCACCCCAACCACCCAGCGATGCCTTACAGCGCCGAGCCTCCGCCGGTGCAGCAGGGGTTTGGTGTGGAAGCTGCTCATCCCCAGGTAGCTTTCCGCTGCCATCCCTTCGATCAAAGACCCCAAGCGCTTCCCAGCTGCTGCGAGCTTAGCGCAGCTCCAGCTGCCTCGGCCCAGCCACGCCACTTCCCTTTGAGGCTCAAAGCCCCTCGCTGGAGTTCCAGTGGCGGTGGGAAGCGGGGCTGGGGATGAAAGCGCCGGTTACCTGCTTACTTCTGCTCCAGCGCTCAACGAGCAGCAACGCACGGATTACCCAAAATAATTCCCCCTAGAAAAGAAGAGGGAAAAAAGAAATAGGGGAAAAAAAAAAACAACAAAAGAAAGCAAGAAAGAAAAAGACTAAAGAAGCCTGTGCTGCGGGAATGGGCAGCTAGCCTCAAAAGCCTCTTACCTGGCTAGATTTAACTGCCTTTGTTGCTGCATCAGCCTGATAGATTCCCTCTTGCATGGTGTCGGTGTTGCTGGCAGCTCCGAGATGTTTCCTGGCCCTTTGTAATGAAAAGCGGCTCTGTGCAGCCTGCGGCCGGGCTCCTCTCCTCCCGTTTGGGTTTTTCTCCTGGGAAACCCGGCTCATCTGTCGCGTTGTTTTGCCTATGTTGGCCTGTGCTCGGTGTGCGTGGGGCTTCAGAAGCGACCCGGGGAGGGTTTGCCTGTATTAAACAGCCGCCCTGGCATTAAAATGTCTTCTGCCTCCTTGAGCCCGCTTACCACCGTGATCCAGACTGAGGCATTGCAAAGTGGCATTTCTAGTAGTCAATTAGTAGCAATCTATTAGTTAATTAATGGCTTTATTAATGCTAGAGGAACGGCATGGGTTGCACCCTGGTGCTCTGGACACAAGGGGCTGGGGAGCTTGGGTGAATGCTCGGTGTGAAGGCAAAGCCTGGAGCCGTCCTGGGGGAGCTGTCACTGGTGGGATGCAGCTCCCACACATTCCCATCCCCATCCTTCTCCAGGGCCATCTCTGCCGCTGCGGCTCAGAGCCCAGCGGTGGTGACATGCTCCAGCCAGCAGTGATGCTGTGCTGGGGGCAGGCAGGACACTGTGAAAGGGACAGAACCCGGGTGCCATCTGCACATTCTCTTTGATTTTGCTACTGGCTTGGTCCTTGGAGGTGAAGTGAGACACGAACTGGCTGGGAGGCTTCAAAGGGAGAGGTGTGCATGTGGATGGGTTACACCACCAGCTCCCTCTGAGCTGGCATCACCCAGGGGTTAGGTGGCAGCCACCTTGCCCAGGAGCACCTACAGAAGTGGCTATATCTGTCTTGAGGATACAAGGGGAGTGCTCATGCGTGTGTGGTTTTGGGGGCCTGTTTGTGCCCCAGCACTCAGGGCTGTGGCACCGGTGTGGGATGCACCCGCAGCACCCCACTGCTGTGTGTCTCAGGGCACCGGTGTGGGATGCACCCGCAGCACCCCACTGCCGTGTGTCTCAGGGCACCGGTGTGGGATGCACCCGCAGCACCCCACTGCCATGTGTCTCAGGGCACCGGTGTGGGATGCACCCGCAGCACCCCACTGCCGTGTGTCTCAGGGCAGTTGCAGCCGCTTCCCTGAACCTGCCGTGGCTCAGTGCACATTAAGGCCGGTGACGATGCTGGGTCCTGGCTGAGATGGTTTTTGTCCCAGAGCGGGCATCCCCATCCCGGGCTGTGCCCCCCCATCCCGGGCTGTGCCCCCCATCCCGGGCTGTGTCCCCCCATCCGGGCTGTGCCCCCCATCCCGGGCTGTGCCCCCCATCCCGGGCTGTGCCCCTCTTTGCCCCCAGTCTGGGCTGTGCCTCCCTGTGCCCGGCCCCAGTGCGGCCCCGGGGGGGGGTCACGGGGGGGCGCAGGGCAGGGCCGGGCCGGGGGAGCTGCGGAGGGGCGGGAGCTGCGGCCGGCGCTGCAGGGGCTGGGGGCCGGGGCCGGGGCGGGCCGGGCGGACCGGCGGGGCCGGGGGAAGGCCGGGGGCGGGGAGGGGGCGCTGCCCCCCCCCCTTTCCGCTGCCCGCCCCCGCGGCAGCGCGGCTCGGCGGCGGCGGCGGCTGCAGACGGGGACGGCGGCGGCGCCGCGCAGGTAGGACCAGGACCGGCAGCGGCAGCGGCAGCGGCACCGGCAGCGCGGCCGGGAGGTGCGGACCCGGCTGCGGGGCGGGTGCAGGGGGGGGGCTGCGAGCGGGGCCGGATCCTGCCCGCTGGGACCGGCCCTGGCGGGAGCATCCCCCGGGATAGGGAGCGGAGGAGCCCCGCGCCCCGCTGCTCCCCGCCCCAGCAGCCGCTGGCCGGTGGCGCTGGGCAGGAACCGGGGAGGGCTCCCGCTGCCGGAGGGTGCTGCAGCCGCGGGCAGGGAGCCGGTTTCCTGGCGGCCGGGAACGGGGGCTGCTGGTCCCGGGCGTGATGAGGGGGAGCCCACGGGAAGCGGGTTCGTGGGATGCCGGGGTCTGGCGCGGGCGTGGGCTCGGTGGCCGGCTGCCCAACGGCAGGTGGATCCGCTCGCCTGGCCCCCCGGCTCCGGCGGTCACTGGGGGAGAGCCCACTATGGGGAAGCAGGAGCAGAGCCCCGAGGGGGGGGGGGGCTCGTGTCCTCTCAGCCGCCACAAGGGACTGAGTCCCCGTGGGTCAGGGCCTCCCCCCGGGTGGCCTCGGAGGGGTGGCCGGCGGCTCCGCGGAGGTGCGGTACCGTGTGACCCGGCCGAGCTCCCCGCGCAGCTCCCGGCGGCCGCCTCTCCCCTCCGCAGTTTTTTGCCCTCCCATCTCCACGTCTACCTCTGCAGCCTCCGGTTTCTTTTTTATCCTTCCCTCCCGTTTCAAGGGCCGTGGGTTTGTGTGGGTTTTCTTCCAGTCCCCCCCCGCTCCCCGCCTGTTTTCTCATCCGTGCTCTCGCTGTAGCCCGAGTCTTTGTTTCAGATGGGGAGGGGAAAAAAAAGGAGAAGAAATAATTGCTTCCCTTGTAAAGTTGGCCCTGGCAGAGCGAGCCCCTGGAGATCGATGCTGCCCGGGTGGTGTGGGAGCCAATGGCAGCCGCGGTCCCCAGCGCAGGGGGATAGCCGCTCACCCCCATAAATACCTGTCCCCTCCCAGCGCAGCGGCACTGGGGTGCCCCGCGGTCGGGGGACACCGTCGGTGTGGCTGGGGATCGCAAAGGTACCTCCCTGCGCTGCTTCCCCCCGGTGGGCTGTTCTTCCAGCATGATTCTCATCATGGGCCCCGTGTCTCGGTTTGGGCATCGCTGCCACTCAGGTCTGTGCGTGAGGCTGCTCCCCAGGGGTGCCATGGGGCTAGGGGAGCCTGGGCCAGCCTGGGGTCTTGGTGTGGTTTGTGTTTCACGTGTACCCAGGTTTGCCTTTGTCTGGAGCAGGGATGGGGATGGGGGACGGAAGGGTTGGTCTTTTCTTTTCCCTTTTGCATGTGTCTTTGATACTGTCCCCAGGAGGGGATCCTGTTTCCCCAAGCCGCCCTCACTTCACGTCGCTCCTCCTGCACCACTGGGATTCACGCTGGCCTCAGGTAAAAGGAGAAGCCAGAACTGATCCGCACTTCCCGCTCCGCATACCATGGGCAGGCTGCTGGATCCTGGTTGCAATCCCTGCACCGAGCTGCTTTGTGGCCAGGTTTGGCCTCGCTGGCTCCGGTACCGCCGGCCGGATGCTGGCAGGAGAATCTGGCCCCTTGTTTGTAAGCAGAGGAGTAGTTTCGTCCTTATCTCCATCCACTACGGAGCATGGAGCTAGAATTTCAGCTGAAGGCTGCGGATTGCCCTGGGAGGCAGTGCAGCCAGTGTGGGTGCCTGTGGGAAGGTGCGTGCTCCACATGGGGCAGAGGAGCGAGGAGGCCCCAGCTCAGAGCTGGGCTGTTAAGGACCTTGGGTTTTATTGTCTGGTGTCTCTGTGTCCCCTCTGCCCCATCTGGCTCCTTCTCTTTCTCAGGGCTGGCTCCAAAAGGCAGCAGAGAGGTACTCAGGGTGGGTGGCACACAGAGGCCATGCAGGGTGCTTCAGGGGGTACGTGCATACAGGGGTCTGTGAAATGCCTGCAGAGATACCTCATCCCCAGAAGTTTCTTTGGGGGATGCTGCTGTGCTGTTGGGCCCCTGATGCTTTTGATCAACTAAAGAAACCTGGGCAGGGTGGGAGCAGAGCACGAAGGCACCGAGCCCCGCTCCGTGGGGTGCGGTGCCCGGGCCCCCCCTGGCTCCCCGGTGTCGGCAGTGCCGAGTACGTGGGCTGTGTTTGGAGGAATGACGTGTGCGGTGACAGGAGGAAGGGGATGAGCAGGAGCTGGAGCCCGCTGTGACCCAGGGCTGGCGTGGGCAGCCACAGCGGGGATGGAGAGCAGGGGACAGGGGTGCAAGAGGGACAGCATCTCCCTCCGCTCGGCCCCTCTGCCTGCTGAGCCCCAGCACATGGCGCTGTGAGCCGCTGCCTGCCCTCTTGAACCGTTTGAACTCGGCCATGGGGAAAGAAGGCCGGGCATAGGGTTTCCTCCCACCTCCCCCCTTCTCTTTTTTCATGCTGTTAGATACGAGACATTCCTGAGCGGATATTCGTTGCCGGGGCTGGGACGCCTCCTGCCAGACAGAACTAATGGGAAGTGGGGAATTGGTTTGGGGTCGGGTTTTTTTCTCTCTCCTGTGTGTTGACCCTTTGAGTTATTGAAAAGCCAGCTGCAGCTCAGCCCCATACAGCGATTCCCACGTGTCTCCAGCCACTCCTTTCAGGTCTGAAGGTGGCTTGCAGAGAAATCATTGTGAGTACGGGAGAGGTGGCTCGCACTGTCGTTGTTCCTGCGGTGGGGGACACGGGTTTGTCTCTATCCCCCCCCCGCCTCGGATCAGATGTGTAATTATCAGAGCCAGCGAGGTGTGAATTATGAAGCAAAAAGCCCCCGTGAAATATTCATAACTGTGCCTCAGTGAAGGGTCAGCCTTCGGCGCTGGGGAGCTGCTGCTGTCCCATTGCCCGGCCACCATCCCATCGCCGGCTCAGCCGGTGGCAGTGAGGCAGGCAGGGAGTGGGTGACCTTGTGACGTCCCTCGTGTCCCGCTCTGCTCCACCACCTCTCGTTTTTGTCCAGGCACTGTAGACATCTCTGAAAGCTGTAATCTGCAAAGCCCTGGGGGGGGCTCCACACTGCGCTGTGTGCCATTATCCCTGAGACAAAGAGGGACAGGCAGGCAGATTACCTTGGCCTTTAGTTTTACATCTGGGAGCAAAGAAAAGCCTTAAATGAGCTCACTGCCAGGGGGGAATTGAACCAGCAGATCCCCAGCTCACCCTCACGCTCCTTCTCCTCCCCAGAAGCTGCAGGACCCCATCCCTCAGGCCAGCAACAGCTTCTGTTGCCCCGTTGCTCCCTGCTTCACCTCAAAGCCGCAGGGGCAGGCTCAGGGCTGGGGCTCCCCTGTGCACCCTTGTTTTCTCACGGCAAGCAGCAGCCTCTCACGGCTGAGGTGGCCAGGAGCAACCTGATGCTTGTACCCATCTTGTAGCATCACCTCTGGGCCTGATGCTTGCATTTCCAGGCTGGACTGGCAACGGGCAGAGGCGGGGCTCGCATGGCCCATCCTGCCCGGCTCAGCACCAGGCTGCTGCTGTGCCAGGGGCTGTTTCCAGCCGGCAAACAGGGGCAGGGCCCCTCCACATGGTGCCCTGGCCGGCTCCCAGCGCTGGGGCAGGTGCTATGCAAACCCTCATTGTCAGCACCCTCGGGATCTCCCTCCCCAGGCAGGGACCCCCCCTCCAGCCCCTGCTGCTCCCCTCACCCCAGCACCGCCGGCTTATCCTGACCTGCAGCCCCACTGCTGGCAGCCGCAGGGCTGGGTGGGCTTTGTCAGCCGGCACTGAAGCGCTGATGGGTTTATGCCTGGCACTTCATTATCCCCCCCATTGCCACCACCGTGCGCTGGCGAGCGGCGCTGGCTGTGACCCCGGCGAGCCCGGCTCCACTGCTGCAGCCTGGGGAGCTCATGGCAGAAGCACGCCCCACGTGGAGTTTAATTATTGGCTTTCTTCCTTAACAGAGTACATTGGCTGACCTTAATGCAATTAATTAGGGCTTAATCAACTTCTGGTGGCTCAGCACAGCACACAGCGATTCCTGCCTTTCCAGGAGGGTTTATAAGAGGTTAAAGCGGCTGAGGAGGGTTGGGATGTGGTCTGCAGGTTGAGGGGCTGTGCTGGTAAGTAGAACTCGGTTAGCTAGGCACTGGGACAAGGCTCACGTGTCTTCCCAGGCTGGGCTTGTTGCTGGAGATGCTGGTACAGGCAGAGGTGAGCTGGACCCTGAGTTGTGCCTCTGCACAGGATTGTCTATGTTCGTTGGTTTTGGCATCACCCTAAGTTTGTGTGTGGCTTTCCACAAGGCTTATCTCTGTAGCCTTGCTGGGCCACACTGTTTGAGTGCTGTCTACTAGTGATGGGGCTGTGGATGGGTTGTACATGCAGCAGCAGCAGCTGGATGTACGAGGTGGGTGTCCCTATGCAAGCAGTAGCATCTCCCAGTGAGAGCTGTGGTGATGGGGACCAGGACAGTGGCATGTCCTGCCTTGTGCTCTAGCATCCTGGGTGCTTTGCATTCTCTCTGGTCCGTTGTGCCTAAGTAGCTTCTTTCCCACAGTGGTGTGTGGCCCTCTGTTCCTTTGGATCCCCATGTCCCAGGCTGCCCCAACCTGAGGGGATGCTCTACCATGCCCCTTATGCAGGCAGCCCTGTGCTGGGACTGGGAGGTGGCAGCAGAAGCTGTGCCAGCCGCTGTTGCCAGCTTGCTTGCTTCAGTGCCAATTCATTAATATCAAAAAGCTCATTAGGATTCTGCAGCCCTTCCCTCCCCTTCGGAGGCTGGAGGATACTGGTAGTCTGTGGGATTGTGCTTAGCCCTCCGGTCTGTCCCAGCCTGGTGGTTTGTGCCCCTCTCCGTGCTCCCAGTTAATCCACGTGGCTAAAGCCCCTCGAAGCCTGGCAAATGGGAAGTGATATTTGCCAATAATCCCTCTGTTCTCCCGGGCAGGCTTTTCATGTTCCAGCTTATTAAAAACCCCCAAACCCAGGCAGCAATAACGGTGGCTCGGGGAGAGCCCAGGCACAGACTGCTCCTGGTCAAACCCCACGCAGCAGGAGAGCTGCCAGCATGACATGGCACAGCCGGGTCTCATGGAGCATCCCTAGGCAGAGCCCAGTCCTTGCAAGCGGAATAGGGCCAAGCCACAGCCTCAATCCTTGTGCTTCCAGGGGATTCCCTTGAGTCACAAAGAAATCCTGGTTCTCCCCATAGGGAGACCTGGAGGAGATGGGATAAACCCTGCCTGGAGCTCACCTGGGCTCCCTGCCCCAGCCTCAGCACCTTCCCCACCACTGGACTGGTCAGCAGCAGCTCCTGTGCTGGCATCCTATGGGGACAGCACCGAGCCAGCCCCAGAGCGGGGATGCTGCTTCCTCCGGGCAGCAGCGGTGCTGCTCCATCCTTTCTGCGTAGATCTGGCCTGGACAGAAGCCAGAAGGAAGCCTTGCTTCCTTGAGGACAGGCTTGTCCCATGGGAAATGCAATATGCAGAAGTTCTGTAATTACTTGCCATTTTGGTTTTTTGTTTGGTTTTTTTGCTTAGTTTTACTGCAAAAACACCAATTTCCCTGCAAGGAGTCTCATGCAGCTCAAAGCGTTTCACTGCATGGGCTGGGGGTTTCCTTCTGGTTTCAAGTCAACATTTCCTCTTAAAATATCACTTCTTTTTAATGCAAAAGTCTGTGATGACATTTTAAGTGGAGAAGAAAATTGCTGCTTCCTTTCAAAATGTCAGCTTTGAGTGGGGTGCATTTGGTTTTTATTTTCTCATTCCGGTGCTTCCCAGGGGAAAGTCAAACTGGTTTTGTAACCGCTGCCCCCTTGTCGCCCCTACAGGAAATCCTTTTTCTTAACCTGATGGCATTTTTGTATCGGGGAAACTTCTGCCAGGAGAAGCTGTGTTCAGGTGGGATGCTGCCTTGGGAATGGGCAGCCCTGTTGTAGCCAAACTTGAGCTCTCTATGGCTAATCCTCCAGTGGTGACCCATGGGTGAGCCTCCACTGCTGCTTGCGGCTTCAGTTGCTGTGAGAGGGATGAACAGCATGACCAGGGGTAGAAGCTCCCCACTTTCTGCTTTCCCTCCACCTTGTGCTCCTGGTTTATTTCACACAGCTCGCCCTGAAAACCGCTTGTGTTAGATTAGGTGAGAGACTGCCGTTATCTTCCTTTTATTTATTAGGGTAATTATACCTAATGATTCACATGCTCCTGGAGAGCAATTAGTCCCAAATACAGTGTTCTTACCCAGCCTGGGCACAGTGATTCACAAGCCTGTCTTTCCACACAGTTCCTCAGGTGATGGTCCCTTGATGTCTGATCCGGTTTGGAGGCGATCGAGGACCCAGTGGCACCATCACTGGGCCCAGCTCGCTCCGGCGCGGTCACTGTCGCTCACCTCCTGCGTGGGCTTGGCTTGAGCCCCTGGAGCTGTGGGAGTTGGGCTGTTTGAGGAGCCACAGGGTCTCATCGGGCAGTGGCTGTGGCACAGCCAGGGCTGCCCATCCAGGTGAGGGATGATCCCTCCCTCCTCCCAAACCATGGCAGTGGCGTGGCTTGACCCTCGCCTCTTCACAGCTCTTGGAGCAAGTGGGTGAGGGCTTAGGAAATGATGATGTGGAGAGGAAACCCTCTGGGTTTCACACTGAGCATTCACTGGGCAATAGCTCCTCGGCCCCATTCCACCCACATCCACCTTCCCAGCTGAGGGTCCCTGCTCACACCAGTGCCTGGCCCCTGTCAAGGGCTCCTGCAGGCAGCTGGGAGTGCTCTAATGGGCTGCAGGGGGCTTGTGTGCTTACAGCTCCCTGCAACCCCCTAGGCTCTCTTTGGTCAGACAGCAGAGGATGCTCTGACCACCATGGGAGGGGGCTGGCCCCTTTCCAATCCCCCCACCAGGCATTCATTGCTGGTGGTGCTGGGGTTGCCCTGGTGGAGCTGATGAAGCTCTGGGGACAATGGTGTTGGCAAGCAGAGAGTCCCCAGCTGGAGGAGCCCCTGGAGGGTGATGTTCTGGGATGGGCAGAAGGGGGAAGTGTGGGTGTACCACAGGGTGAGTCTTGTCTCAGCTCCAAGGGGGACTGGGAGGCCCCTGTAAGCTGACAGCAAGTTCTGCCACCCCACAGGGATCCCTCTCCAGTGGCTCTGGGGCCTCCCATGCTTCCTGCTGGCTGAGACATCGCCTCTCTTCTCTGTTTGATGCAGGGCTCCTCTGGCTCCCCATGGACCCTGCACAGGGGCTGGGGGGGCTCCCCAGGGCACAGCCACATCCCAGCAGGGTCCTGCAGAGGGACTGGCCAGCACAGAGCAACTCGCAGCCTGCTGTCTTGTATGGCTTTTTATTCCTATGTGATTAAACATCCCACTTCATATAGGGATTGAAGCCGTGCAATACGCCGGGGTCCTACAGCGGAGAACAGCCCCTGTTCCATGGAGCCACCAAAGCTGTACCCTGGGGTGCTGGAGGAGGGCTGCCGGCCTCAGCCCGGGCTCTGTCCTGCACCCCAGCTCTCATGGCAGGCAGGTAAGGGGTCCAAGCTGCTTCGGCCTGAGGCCAGCACAAGCCCACTCCTTGCATTGCATCACCTTGAAAGGACAGGCCTGATTCTGCACCAGAACTATCCAGGAGATGGGTGACAGCATCCGGGTGCAGACACTGGAAGGAGGCGATGCCAGCAGGACACGGTAAGAGGAGGAGGAAGAAGAGGAGGAGAAAGGAGCCTGGGAATGGCCATGGCAGCAAGTGTTGTCCCAAGCGTGATGCTCTTCGAAGTCCCTCAAGAGGCCCCAGCCGCTCTTCAGAGGTTTGCATTAAACCTGTCACATTAGTGAAAGTAGTGAGAATGGTGGCAGCCCCCTTCCAGCCCTCCATAAAGGAGGGAACCCCTTAACACCTACTGAAATATTAGCCATTAATCAGGCTCCGTGAAAATAAACCCATCCACATCTATCATTATTGGATCCTTAATGAAGTGATAATGGGAATGCTGGGGAGCTGTGATATTAATGTCTCCTAAGAGGCAAGAGCAGAGCCAAGGGCTGCAGCCAGGATTTTTAATTTACTGCCAAAAGCCCATGCTGTTAATAACGCTGTTACTTCTCCTGCCCATTAGCACTGCTTGGCTGTGAGCAGCCCACTTAGGAGAGCAAATCAACCCCAAACACACCTGTGATTCACTCCCCTGCTCCCTGCCCAGCACTGGGGTGTGCTTTTCCCCAGTGGTAGTCCCTGTGTCCCCTGCCAGGGAGCTGTTGGCCATCCCCACCCACCTCCCTCCTTCCTGGAGGCTGGCTGGTGTAGAATATTGCCCTTACATTACAGAGGGAAGGGACTGAGAGCATCCAAAGGAAGCAGCTCTTATTGTCTTCCCTGTGTCTGTGACTTGTTTCCCTAGGCACAAGCCCATCGGAGCAGGGATGGCATGGAGCTGGTTCCAGCATGGCCTGCATCTGGAACCCCTCATTGTGTGTAACTGTGCTGCACTCTGGATTTCTTCATTTGCCTGGGTATGCTCACATGATGCCAATATCCCATCCAGGACAGTGCAGCAAGCCCAAAGCCCTGCTCACTCAAGTTCCCAATGGGAAGCTCATTGCTGCTCCAGGCTCTGAGAGCCCAGAGTCCAATCGTCACTTGGCAGGTGAGTGATGCTGTTGTGTCTTTAGATGTGACTGTTACCTCCCAAATCCTTGCCAGTCCTGACCACTGCAGGCCGAGTGTGTGCTGGGTCATGCATGGGGTGTTCCGCTGTCAGCAAAGGGACTGCAGGGCAGAGAGGGCTGGAGCAGTAACAGGCAATTCTGTGCTAAGCATTGACCATAGGAACAAACCTGTACCTTGTGTATGAGGGCTGCCTGCAGTCCAAAGCTCCTTTCCTCCCTAGGCAGAAGATGCACAGGGTTAACCCCTCAGAAATGGAGTTTTGATGTGTCTAGATAGAAGCATCAGAAGAGGAGAAGTGTTTTGGTAACCTGGGTGTTCTTGGTCAACCTCCCCTTGCCCTGTTATCTTCTCATTAGAAAAGGGGACAAGAACAAAAATCGTATACAGAGGCCAGGCAAATGTAGATGTGAAGTGCACTTCAAACAGCTCCATCCTTTCAACAAACCTTTTATTAGCCTTCTGTCCTCCTCAGCACAAACTCTTTTTAATCACCAGTGAAAAGCCACTCTTCTGAAGGGAAGGACAGGATACATGTGGTAGGCATTTCCCAGGAGAAGCCAGCAAATTGGAGCCCAAGGTCTTATGGACTTGACAAGAGATGCAGCACAAGCAGCAGCTCCAAGGACTAGCACAGTGCTCAGCAATGAGGCAGGGTGCAGAGCACAGGGTATGGTGCCCCTGTGACAGTGTACCGAGGCTTGCTGGAGATGCCAGTGACCCTCGTGCCAGGCATGCCAGCCCGAAACTGGAGTCACACTGGACTTCACTGGAGCAGAACTGCACAGGAAGCATTAACAGTATTTTGGAGCCAGCTTCAGCCTGTTATCCTGGCTGCAGCCTGTATTTTTTGCTGTATCAGTGCACATGTTAGTGCCCCACAGTGCTGGCATGCTGGGCATGGAGGAGGTGACCTGCCAGCAACCTCTGCACTAAAACACACAGCACAAAGCAGCTTCTCCTGTGCAACCACCACCTGACATCGCAGGGGCACTGTGAGCTCTATAACACTTGGCAGGTTTTCCCCAGCAGATCTCAAAGCTGTTTGCCAGCATGAGCAAGTTCAGGCATGTTACAGAAGCCCTTCAGACTCACAGGACAAATGGGATGTGTGGATGGGTTTAACCCACCGGGATAAAACCAGGGCTTTGAAATCTCCAGGCCTGTGCCTTCACACTGCCCCTGGGCTGTGGCCCAGACAGTCCAGCTGCCAGCCTGGCATTGATACCAGGCCCCATGATGGTCCTGCTGATATCCCTGCTTGTTAGAGATTGGCTTCAAAACCAAAGCAGGAGGTGTTGCATCCTTCTCAAATCCACCCTCCGACCCAGCTTGGAGCAGGGTGCAGAATGACTGCAGTGAGACACCACGACTCATGGTGTTGGCGCGACAGTGTTTTTATGTCACGAGATGAGATCAGTCTGGAAAGAGTCTGAGTCAAGCGTGTCCTATTAAATTAGGGCTGGATTTTCAAAGGAGCTCAGCTTCTACTTAGGCTCTGTAACAATCAGGCAGACATTCAATTGGACATGTTGGGTCATACTGGCTGCTGGGTTGAAGTCCTTTGAATATCCAGCCAAAACCATCACCGTGCCTGTTGCTGCAGGCAGAACCCTTCTGAAATCCCATCCCACTGTAGGCTCCATGTCCTGGGAAACCCAGCTCATCTCTGCTCTCCCACATATGTGCTGCAGTAGGTGATGAAACTGTGATAAACACCTCATCCTCATACATGCGGGGGAGCGGCTCCCTGTCAGAGCACAGCTCCAGCAGCTTTGCCCTTTGATCAGCTCAGCAGCATGGGTCAGGAGAGCCGAGCATGAAGGTTTCCTTGCCTTTTGTTCTGTGGAATTAGCAGAGTTAACCAGAGTGACAGCGACTTCTGCCTCGGCACAGGAGGAAGGTCAGTGGCTCAGACTGGTGCATCACTGTTTTCTAGGCAACTGGAAAACAACACTGTAGAAGCTCACAGCACGCACGCTGCTGGCACGGAGACTCCCCCTCCAGGGATCAGCAGGGATGATGTTCCTGCAGAGGGAAGGAGGCTGGAAGAGGAGGACCCCACTCAGCTGGCTTGCTGCTGCAGATCAGCCATCCCCATCCTTATGCTGCACAGTGAAGGTACACCGCCCTCTGTCACTGTCCTGTGCACTGCTTGTGTCATGTGTCCAGTACCAAGCACATCTCTGCCCATGTGCCCCTTAGCTACACTGGTGTGCATCACGCTGGGCTTGAGGTCTCTGTTGAGGTATGCTGGTGTGGGAGGAGCTGCAGTGCACTGGAGCGGGTGCTGGGTGTCCCCTTCCCACCATGTTCCCCCAGCACCTCCTTGCCTTGAGCTGGGCAGGCTTTGCCATTGCTTTTACTTCTTTTGGTCTCTGTAATGCACTTCTGTGAAACTGCATAAGCCCGCTGCTGAGCTGCTCTTGAGGTGCAGCAGCCGCTGTGAGGGCTCTCCCTGGCAGCCCTACCATGGCCTTCATTTCCTCACATCATTTAACTACAGTTGAAGCAGTCACAAGTGTGGTGGCTCTCAGCAGCAGTGTTAAATCTGGCCTCTACGTCTGTAATGTGACCTCTTATCTCCCTCTGATTCTAATTACAAGTGCTTGCTTTTGCTGTGGACGTCCACTCCTGTGTCTAATTAGTGGACTATTTCTGTCAAAGACAGTAGAACCCTCAAAAGCAAGCCCTAATTTAAGTAGTTTACATTTGTCTGCAGTGTTGATGCCCTCCTTTACCCCCGGTCCTAATTAAATGCATCTGGATAGCTGCAGAGGGACCTCATTCCATGGCTCTAATTAAAATGGCCTGGATGTCCATGACATTGGTGCCTGTCAATCCTGTCACCAGGAGGTGATGTCCACCTTGGAACTGGCTGAAGAAGGCATAGGAGTTGTTGCTGCTAAGGAAAGCCTCCACATCGAGGCCCTCCTGCAGTGCCTCAGTCACCAGCTCTGGGCTGCAGAAAGCTCCGGCTGCCTCCGTGGGCCCATCCTGCCCGTCCGTCCCACCGCTGAGGAAGAAGATCTCACACCTCCCTGGGGAGCTGCTGGCTCCCATGGCCTGTGCCTTGTGCAGCCCCAGCCCCACGCGCAGGACCAGCTCCTGGTTCCTCCCTCCCTTGCCGGTTCCTCGGAGCTGGACTGTGGTTTCTCCGCCAGCCAGGATGCACACTGCTGTTTTAGACCCCAATCCTCGCAGGGCCTGTAGGAATTCAGCAAGGTTCAAGCCTGGGATCTGTAGCTCTGCCACCAGCTGCAGGAGATCCCGCCTCACCTCATCACTCTGGGGCCCTTCTCCGAGGCCAGCAAAGCCCAGGCAGAGCAGCCGGATGAGCTGGCAGTACAGCGTGGCAACGCGGCCAACGTCCCCACAGACTGCTGCGCTCAGAACCAGCGTGGTGTAGCCCAGGCCCTCAGCTTGGCGTTTGGCCTCCTCCAGAGCCAGCCTGTTTGACCCGATGATGATGTTGCAAACGTGGGAGAAGTCTTCTGGAGCAGTGGGCTTGGTGGGAGAGCTGGACAGGACCGTTTCCACCGACTTGGGCAGACTGTGCAGCAGGTTGTATTTGGTGAGTATCTGAAGGCAGTCTTGGACAGTGTGGGAGCTGGCAGCAGTGGGGCCGCTTGCTATGATGTCCAGGGGGTCACCAATCACATCAGAAAGGATGAGGCTCACCACCTTCAAAAAGAGATGCGCACAGATTATTGTGGGAGGCAGAGCACGCAAGAGCCCTGGCATAAGCGCTGCTCTGAGTTACACTGGTGCCACCCTCACGTCAAAGGAGATGGAAATAGGTAGATGTTGGTCCATTTTTGGTTTATGGCCCTGTGAGTGTCACCTTGCCCTTGAACCCACAACTCTACAACGTCCTTTGATGGTGGACCACCACTTTGGAAGATGTAACCCATGACACTGCACTTGTCAGTGCACTTACAGCCTAGTGTGGGTTCAGCAATGGCATGTGCTGAGAACAGCCCCTAGGGAGTGCCGTGTTGGACTCTGTGGTGGAGCACCAGCACACTGGAAGTGCCTGCTGCATGAGGGCTGGGATCTGCTGAGAGTGGTGTGATGGGACAGCCAACACAAGCCAAGTCTGACATTTGCCTCTTTCATCTCTGTCTCCCTGAGAGTTTGGGTCCTTGGTGCAATCTGAGCCACAGTACCCAAACAGTGTGTAAAGGCTGCTCCCTCAGTGAGGAGAAAAACCTCCAAGTGCTTAGGTCAGTTGATTAAACCCCTATTTCAGGGGCTGGTGGGTGATCTCTGGGCTTCTTCTCCATTACCTGTGCAGGATATGAGAGCCGGGCCAGTCCTCCACCCTTCAGCAAGGACAGAGTCTTCCGGACAACGTTGAGCTCCTGTATGGCAGCTCCTCGGGAAGCCAGCATCTTTGTGAGTTTCTCTTTCTCTTTGAGGAGGATGGGAGGGATGGGAGCAGGCAGTAGGGCTGATCCACCCCCTAGGATGCAGAAGAGATGGCAAGGACATCAGGATAGCAGGAACACGACAGAATGAAAGCAAGGCTGTTCAGAACTTGTGCCTTTCCTCTTCCCTCATGAGTGCATAGAGGGAAGGCAAAGGTCACTGGGGACTATGCTAACATCTCTGCATAATTCAGTCTTCACTGATTGGCTTTAATCACAGTTGTCCTGCACTGCCTGCACTCAGCTACATTTCATCTGGGCAGTGTAAACCTCGCTGCACACCTGCACTGGTGTGAGGACAACAAAGAAGGGCCACCAATTACTATCCCCACTACCCCATATATAGTGAATCACCTGACACAAGCGGGCATTGGAAATGCAGAAAGAAGGTAGGTTCCAAAGGAAAAGTGGAATGGATGGAAAACACGGAGTAGAAAGGAGCAAGATCTGAGCAGAGAATGAACATGCACAGAAGTACAGCTGAAAGCTACTGTCAAAAGGCAAAGCCTGCTCAGAGGTTTGAGACAAACCAGCATCAATAAAACATGATGAGCAAGAAAAACAAATGCAAATGCCTACTTTTCAGTCAATAGCCAGGGATCTAGCTGAGAGGCAGGAGCAGTTGGGGACCGGCTGCTGTGTGGGAGTGCACATGCATAGGGAGTCGCAGCCACGGGGAGATCCTGTACAGGCTCCTTGAAGGGCTGAGGAGTCTCTTGGAGATTCCTGTAGCCAAAGAACAGGAGGAAGCCCAGCAGGTGCAGCTAGGTTCCAGTTGCTTGGGTGTTTGCCTAATGCCACTACTCTCTCTGCACCAGATCAGGCTCCAGCATCCATAGAGGAACAGTCACTGAGCAGAGACCAAAGCGTTTCTCCAGAGCTGCTCCAAGCCCCTGCATGCTTTTGACCTGTGACACTTGCTCACCCAGCTGAGCTCAGGCTGGGGTGATGTCACTGCATCCCTCTGATGCACAATGTCTGCCTTCCTTACACAGCCCCTGCCCCAGCAGCCAGGGCCTGGGTGAGTTCAGGGCTGACCCTGCAAGGTGTGTAGCTCATTGTGTTGGAATGTGGGGGCCTTGTTTCCACTGGCCAGGAAGCAGCAAAGCCCTGTGAAGGGTCAGTCCCAAATCTCAGCTTACAGACTTGCACCCCTGTACAAGTCTGGAGCATGCAAGTACACCAAGTGCTTGCTTCTCCAAGTCTGTATCCCCAGATATAAGGAGAGGGCAGGAGGAAAGCATCTTCTTGCCAAGGGGTGAGAGCAGCTGGCAGGCTGTGCTCAGAGGTGTCATCTCACAGTGGTGGCATGACCTCAGTACCCAGCCTGTGCAGCCATTGCTGGGAGGCAGCATGTCCACTCCAGTAGCAGGTAGCTCTGTGCCCTCCCTTGCTGCATCCCTAAAGGCTACACAGGAGAAGGGAGAGGTGAAATGATAGAGGTGCAAGTGTCAGTGCTGAAAGGGCTGGCACAGCACAGTGCTCCCACACGGGCAGGCAGCTGGAGGGCCCCCAGCAGAGCCCATTCCCTGGGATACCCTTCCTACCTGAGATGAGCACAAGGAGCAAGTCATCCTCAGTCAGACCCTCTGCCAGTTCCTGGATGGCAAGTGCTCCCTTCAGAGCCTCTGCGTCTGGGAGGTTGTTCTTGGCACCTTCGATGACCTGGATTTTGCTGTGTGGCTTCAGCAGCATCTCCCTGGTGAGGTAAGAGAGGCAATCACACCACTGACACATGCACCTTCACAGGCAGCCCTGCTGTGCTAGAGGAGCACAATGAGAGACCAAGACAGGGAGGTGGCCTTTGCTGAATGTCTCCTCCCCAGGCCTACGAAGGCAGCACATCCAGCACAAGAGATGGGCTGTGTCATTGGTGACACTGGGACGTGATGGTGGCTGGAAACCAATGTGGTGTGGTGGATGGGGTGAGCACCAGAGCAAGGGTAGTTGGAACGGACTGAATGGGTCACAGCAACATCGCACAGAGGATAAATCTGTCAGCCTCCCCCCAGAAAATGTCCAGGCATGGTCCCCCTTACTGCATTCCTGCTCGCTGCAGGCTCTCCTGGATGCCCAGTGGCACATTGATGATCCCCCGAACGAGGTGGTCTCCCAGGATCTCTTCTGCTGCCGCAGCCATCCCCAACACAGCTTTGCCAAAACCCACCAGGTACAGGTTCCTCTTCACTGGGAAGGCCCTGCCCTTCACCAGCAGCTGAGGGCACCCATCCTTCTGGAGCTTCAGAGCCCTCTTCAGCATCGGAGCCGGCCGGACAGTGCCCAGTGCACTGCAGAAGAGGGTCAGTGCGTGCTCACGGAGGGACATGGTGCACAGGTGGCCAGGGTGAGTCAATCTGCTCAGTGAGGGGGGCTTGGACACATTCTGCCAGTTCTGGCAAGGCTTTAAGAGCTGGGGCCGCTGACACCCTCCAACCTGCAAGAGAATGCGAACAGTTTTGCCAGCAGAAGAGCCAGGGCTGACACAGAGAGAGCAGGGAGGGCAAAACATCAACCCTGGAGCTCTAGCTCCTGTTTTCTCTTCTAGGTTAAGGTGCTATATCAACAGCACTTTCAAACCTCTCTTCAGTCAGGTGGGAGGCAAAGGCAGTGTCACATTCAAACTACTTGTCAGCTTGTGGCTCCCTGCAATCCCATCACCTCCCACAGGGAAGGTGAGTCCTGCCAGCCAGCTTCTCCATCACTGTACATTTGCCACTGGCAAGCCATCATTTCGTTCAGTGTTTGATGCCTTTCCAAACTGTGGAAGATGCTCTCTGTCCTGGAGAGAGCAGTGCATCTGGGTGGAACGGCTTCTCGCTACGTTAACTCCCTGCTCATGCCAGCCAAATGCTGATGTCATTCTCTGGCTGCACATCGCCCCATGTGTCTCTGCAGCATCAGGCATGGACTTGAGAGAAACAACAGGCTTGCTGGCTGCCTGATCCCTTTCTGCTGGTGGCCACAGAGAAACAAGTAATGAGGTTTCCCAACTGTCCAGCAAATTAACACAAGGCTTCATTTGCCTTTACTTTGTAGTCCTTTATTATCCATTAAAATCACATTTAAAGCCCAAGTAAGGCCTCAGATCAGGCAAAGTTGCCAGCCGTGTCTGCAAAAGTCCATTTGAGCTAGTCTCCACTGACTATTAGCATTATATGCAACAGATCTGCATGTGGACAGAAACATCTCAACTGCCCGAGGGCAGGCACTTGTCTTGACAGAGGAAAGGCAGCCCCTGCCAGCACACATGCATCTATTCCCTCCCAGCATTTCTCTTTCTTTCTGTTAACTGGCAGCAAGTTCAGTGCTGCTTTCTCAGGATCAAAGATCCTTGTGATCTGCGTCTCCTCTGCTCATGGTAATTATGGTGCTGGCAATTAAGACAGGGTGCCAGGAGGCTGAAGCAGCCTAGCAACACACGGGATCACAGACCTGTTCGAATTACCTGAGAGAGTTAATCTTCCCTCTAGTAAATGGATGTGTTTCAGTGCAAGGCCAGTGGCTGGCTTCTTCTGAGAGAGCTCACGAGTCCAGAGGTCTCTTTGTCCTAATACTCTCATAGCACTGCAAGGTGTTAATCATTAAGCCAGGCAAGCTTCCCAACAGCTCCTCTGAATCTAAATCTGCCTTATTTTGCTGCAAGGACCCAAAGGCTCTGTGAAAACCTCAGACAGTGAAACCTGGACACACTCTGAAATCTAAAAGACAAAGGACTTGCAGGTAAAACTACATGGAGAAGCACAGGTTTGCCAGAGAAACAAAAAAATAATCCAAGAATCATTTAAGCTGTAAAAGACCCTTAAGATCAAGTCTAATTGTAAATGATTCAATGCTTAGATTTTAAAGGTAAAACTCCAAAGCATATAAACTACCTGACTATACTCCCTTTAGATACTGGCCAGAAGGACTGGCTTTTCAGTTACAAAGAATAAAAGGCAGAGTTCCTGACCACTTCTGTGACTAGACTCTTAAACTTCATGGCAGCTGATGCTGCCAGCAGGTCAAAGCACAGATCCTCAGCCCTCTTACAGTGAGGCCCAGAGTAACTGTGCTAACACCAGTGACTTCAGCTGTGCACCTCTCAGGAACTGAGATCAGCATCCCCATTCCCAGCAGGTCTCTGATTCACCTGGCAGCACAGTGCAAGCAGGAAGGTGTTACAAAACAGAGGTGCATGGCACCCCAGGTTGCCTCGTCTGAGCTGCGAGACAGGGTTTGCAGAAGTGGTTGGAGAAAAAGGCTTAAATGGAGCCAGGGGAGTTTAAAAAAGTAATCCCCATAGCTTTTAACAGGCTCTGTCTCTGCCTTGATGTTCCTGTGCGTGGCTGACCCTGAAGAGCAGGGGAATTGAGCACAACCAGACCTGCAACTGCTGCTCCTGTCACACATGCCCTGCCGGCGGCTCCGCTCAGCTCCGACTCCAGACACGACACAGCAGGCGTGAGTTGTTTAAAAGCAGTCTTCCCCTACTGGAGCTGAGAAAGAGAAAAGCCAGTTTAATTCATCTGGCACTCGTGTGCATACTGCTAATGCTTGCTCTGGAAAGCGTTTCACTACAATAGCAGGCATGTAATTTCTTTTCTGCACTCTGAACTCAGATTATATTTTAACCATCAAGGCCCGATCCAGAGCCTGTTGAAGTCAGCATGAGTCTTTCTATTGCTCCTAAGGATTTTACAGCATGCTGCCTGATGCTGATCTCAGTGCACAGGTGTAAACATAGAGGAAATCTGGTGTAAAACCCCCCTGCAGTCAGAAGTTATCCGACTTTACACCAACACAACAGGGAGCTGAATCTGGTACAGGCCCATTAGCTTTGGAGGTCTCAGTGTGTAACTGCTCCTTGTCAGCTCTGATTAGACATGCAGGCTCACTGGAGGCTCTCCTTGGAATGGGGGTGCTGCTAATGATGCCACAAATCCATTTTTATGTAATTTATTTATACAGTCTCAGGCACTGGGTACTAAACATCATCAGGGACCAGCTATAAATCAGTGCTATGAAATCCACTGCAGATATTAACAAAAATTAAAACTAGTCATTTCCCTAGGGCTTCAAAAACCAAAATCAAGAGAACTGAACATCACCCCACACCAAAGCACAGGCAGCCTTGGAAAGAAAGATAATCCTAATGGCAGCTCTTGAGCTACCTCCAGGATAGTGAGTCTAGAATTTATGTTAGCTGCTCTGTATTGCACATGGAGAAATTACATCCTCACATCCCTCTTCCCACTGCTGGATGGGAAAAATCTGGGCTGGGAGAAGGGGCTGATGATGTTGCTTCACGCACTAGTATTTGTTCCCTGATTTCTCAGGGAAATCACATAGGGATGAATGAGCCCTCTTCTATATGGATATAAGGTGGCATACTATAGGCACCAGTGGCACTCAGGTTTACGCCTTCCCTTTGTCCCTGCTCAGAATAACTTGGAGTTTGGGTATAGATGATCATTTGAAAAGTTGGGAAAAAAATGATGCTGAGAATTGCCTGTTTCAAAGAGAGCAGGAGTACTATAAAGGGTTTAGATTAATCCCCTTTAAATGAAAACTTCTTCAGCTTTCATTGATGAATAATGTTCTCCGTCTCCATACTTGCTTGCATGCATTACCATTAGAAATTCTTTCTTCATAGGGCTCCTCCTAAGCCTGCACTGTTAACTCTCACCACAAAAAGCAGCAAACCCCCAGCTCCTCATTTTCACTTTCTCTGGGAAAGAGGGAGGGAGAGGAGCTGGACTCTGATAAAATACAGGCAAAGTGCTCGTTTGCATTACCTTTCATTAACTTTTTAATTAAAGCAATTCTGCAGGCAAGGAGCCAAAGTCAGAAGGAGACAGAAACAATCAGCACTGGGGGCAGAAATGTGGTAAGCTGCCAGGTAAATTGGATGGTGGCATGAGACCAAAAGCATGGACATAGGTGGGTGTAGCTGAGCATAAACTTGGAGTCACACTGTGAACAAATGAGCTGGCCATGCCCATGCAGTGAGCAAAATGATGCAGCACCTTGCTCCATGGCATGTATTTGAAAGCCAGAAAAATATTCCCTTCTAGGAGCCAGCCTGCCATCGCTGGGCAGACCTGAGCCATTCCAGGTGCTGTGGTTAGAGGTTTGTTCAAGGGTTTGCATCATGGGCTTGTGGTTTTCTTGAAGCTGGAGCAATTGTGCTTGCTGCAGGCCAACGCAATCACACATCCCAAGCGTTTCAGGTGCTGCAAGATCAGAGGATGCTGTACATTAATGCTCCAGGATGTCTAATTGAACTAAGATCTTCAGGGGCCTAAATTAGCTTCTTAATGTCATTAGGACTTCTTTGGATTTCCCCCAGTGTGGCAGTGGTTGGTGGCTGGCCCACTGTGTACAGGGTCAACTCCAAAATCCCTCAGGAGCTGGGAAAGTACTTGCGATGTCACTGGATCAAATCCCAAGTGTTCCAGGATAATTGTGAGCTCAAGCTCTAAAGACAGATTACATCTTTGCTACAGTAGTAAACTACCAGACACAGCAAGTTTTAGCAGTGTCTCTTGCTACTCATTTTTCTTGTTGCATGACTTTCTTCTGGCCTCTCAGTATGTAAATTACTGTTAGGCTCACCAAGGCTCCCAGCTTCCATCTTTCATGCCTCGCCATGGGAATTTACCTACGAAGTACAACAGAGCGGAGATTGTACTGCCTTAAACTCCTCTGTTCCCACTTACTGACACATCTTTTCTATCATTTGATATATCAACTTTAATTTGCCTGGTGAGCCCTGCTCAAACTCAAACTTGCTGCTCCAGATGGTCCCAAAAGCATTATGAGCAAATTTTCCAGGAGATGCACTGAGCCCAGGAGGAAAGCAAAGCAGTGAAGGTTTGTTCCAAGTGACTATTCTGGGAGGATTAGAGGGGGATTTTTTGAGACTAATCTCTTTAAATGAAAATTTCAGAAATTGATTAATTTTTTAATCTGCACATGGATTTGCATAAAATTACTGCACTGCCTCATTCATTGTGTGAAAGAGAAAATGTCTGCAGCCAGGATGGACTGGTCAGCTATGAAGTGTCCAGCACACAAGTGGGTGTGCAGTGACAGGGTGAAAGGTCCTTTTGCTCCCACTCCCTGTGGTGCTCCTGCATCCATAACTGGGAAAGAAGATGAGGGTGGACAGTAGCAAAATGATGAGACCAGAGAGCTGCCCTTGCAGGCAGGCAAGAGAGAAAGTAGGATGGAGTCTGAATAGCTTTGTTTCAAGAACATGCTGAGCTCTGGAAAACCCAGGAGCCCTAATTTCCAATATGTGGCCTTCTATATGTTTCTTGGAAAAGAAATATGTCACTCTCATGACTGATTTACTCACCAGGAAGGTGTCAACAGCATCTCTTTGCCTTTGATGGGGAATGTAGCCTAAGGCCAAACACATGGATGATAAGTGTCCCGTTCAGCATTTTATATATATAGATCAGTATCATTAGCAAAAAAAATTAACTGGATTTGACATATGCATCTTACTAGTTTTTCTAGGTCATACTCCCTTCAATCCCTATATACCTTTTGGGAATGATTTTCCCATGCACTGGGGATTGCAGGGAGGAAATATTTTTCACTAAAAAATCATACTGCAGCTCAATGCAGACCAGCACTACCCTGAAGCCAAGTCCATGCCAAGCCTACTTCCTTTCATGCTGTAATTTCTCAAACTCCCTATTCAGAGTGAACTTGCAATCAAAGTTGAGAGCCCTTTAAAGTACAGGGAAGGATCAGGGTATTCTAGAGAAGATGAAAAGATGCCAGCCTTGAGGACTGGAATAATAGAAAGGGGTCGAAATTCAGTACTGCAAAATACAAGGTCATGCTCTCTGGGATTAATAGCAAAAGATTATGAGCTCTTCAGTTGGAAATAACATAAGAGGAGGAAGAGCCAGGAATATTAATCAGTCACAGGATGACAATTACAGCTGCCCTCTAGGCTGAGACAAGAGGCTATGGGAAAAGCAGAAAGCAGCAGATGTAATCTACCTTGACTCTAGTGAGGTTTTTGATACCATTTTCATGAGCACACTGAAGAAGTGTGGGATGGGCATACACACTGTCGGATTCATTGAAAAACAGCTGGAGCACTGGGCTCAGAGGGTACAAATCAGTGGCTCACGGTCCCGTTGACAGCTGGTCATCAACAAGGACTCTGCTGTGGTTCATGTCACCCTACGGCTTCAATATGGAGGGCAGCACAAAGCGCTTGATTTGGGAGAGGTGCTGCTGGAGCCACCTTCCAGGGGAACTGTGATAAACTCAAAGTCAGGGCCAACAGAAACCTCGTGTCACTCAGCAAGGAGAAGTATGAAGTTTTGCTGCTGGGGCAGGATCCCCCCTGTGCATCAGGGTAGTCTGGGAACCAAGTGGTGCAACCAGCTATGGAGCAACCCAATAGCAGCTACAACGACTTGAAGGGTGGTTATAAAGACAGCAGCTATGAACCCTTCTTAGTAGTGGCAGAAAGTATAAGTAAGGAGCAACAGCCACAATTTGCAAGTGAGGATATTCACACTGGACATGACTGACGAGGTTTTTACAGGGAGAGTTGCACAATACTGGATCAGGCCGCTCAGAGAAGCTATGGTCTCCACGCTAGGTGGTTTTCAGGGTTTGGCTAGACAAAGCCATGGCCAAGCTGATCTTGTGCTGGTCACCATTCTGCACTGAGCTGAGCGTGGAGCAGGTAGCTCCAGGGGTCCCTTCTCCCCACACTTCTGCAATTCCATGTGGTAACAGCAGGGTCAGACTTCAATGGTCCTGAGCATCACGCTTAGTTTGAAGAGCCCATAAAGAGAAGCCAAGTTGTAGGATACAAGCCCCTCTCCACACAAGTGTTAAGTCATAACTGTTACCCACAGAGAATCGTCACCCCCAGCGGAGTTCAACAGAAATATGAGCAACAACACTGAGCAGTGCTGTTTCCAGAAGCATCCCTCTAAAATTCACAAGCACTCCCCTGAGCAAGCACAGGTCTGTTTGTATTGTGCAGGTTACAGTGGTATCTAATATGGAAATGCACAGGTAGAATGACTGCATTCGATCAATATTATTCAAGCAGCAATTAAGCATTTTTTTTCCATTAACTAGGGCCATTATCCATAATGCCTACTTAATATGACATTTTGCTAGGAGATCCAATTATCCCACCGCATAAATTCCAACTGGGTATAAACTGACAAACGAAGTTCCAACCATTAGGAACAAAGGCAGAAGAAAGAATAAAAAGGGAGTGACAAAATATCAAATCAACAACCCACGGTGTTATACAACTGTAAAACTAAGCTAAGTATTGTAGGTGTTTTGAAGTAAATTGTCTTATGATGGTATCAGTGAGTCACCTTCAGGGCCCACATCAGATAATCCAGGCTTTGATCATGCAGGTCACAGTGTGCAAGAATTCTGTGCTTCTTTACAACCTCCCATCACACAGAGATCAGTTGTGGGTTTTGCACTTACCTGCAATAGCGCAGCTGACCCCGAAACCTCAGAAGCAACAAAGGTGACTTGTGTTGAGAGTCCCCAGACACCGGTGTGAGAATCCTGCCTCCGTATCAAAGTAACATGGGTGAATCATTCCGATGAGCCGATCCCATCACAGCAGGAAGGGGTGAATCAGGTTAGACGGCTAAACCTGTAACGGTGAACAGTGGGAGCAAGTAATCCGAGAGAAGACTTTTGTTTCACTCAATTGTATCTGCACATAAAATAATCAGCATGTTTGAAGAACGAGCACGCAGACCTTTGGCAATAGTTCCCGGAGTTACTGTTGTTTGACCACAGGAGGGCAATATTATTCTAAAAGCAAAATCAAACTCTATTCTGGAGACTGAAAGGAAAATACCATTAGCATTTATGAAGGCATCTATCTATGTTTCGTTGGGTTTTTTGATTCTGAGTTTCTGAGAGGTAGAAATGACAAAAGAATTGGTGTTCTAAAATGAAACTAGGGGGCCACTGGTCATCTTTGGGGGTGGGGGGCATTCTCACAGCTGCTGTTATACCCCAGGAATAACTTTTAAAGTTAAGAGATGTACAAAAACATGAATACAGAGCCTGACATCGGGATTCATGATAGAAAAGAGTAGCAGTTCCAACGTGTCTGTGTCGGAGCACCAGCCTCAAATGCCAAGGTGCCTTTCTCACAAGCTGTGTGATGCTCATCTGTACCTGACATCTTATGGGATGCGAGCTGTGGTGTTCCTGTAGCACTGCTCGGAGGCCAGGGTTGGAAGAATAAATAATACTGAGAAATAAAGATGTGTAATAATTGGGCTGGGGAAGGCTTGGATGTGGTATTGGTAAAAACGTCTCCACCAAAAGGGTGAAGCACTGGAACAAGTCTCCCCAGGGAAGTGGTGAAGTCACCATCCCTGGTGGCATTTCAATGGCCTGTAGCTGCCGCACCTGGGGACAAGGTTTAGTGGTGGACACTTGGCAGTTCCGGGGTATCGCTCGGGCTTGATGATCTCAAAGGTCTTTTCCAACCTAAACACTTGTATGGTTCTATGAAGGTAGGGCCACAAAGCGAGGGAGCCGCCACTGTGGTTTGAAGGAGGGGGCCAGGGCCCAAACACCTGCGAGACGCGCTCCCGGGCCAGATCCCTGGGGACACCCGGCCCCGCCCCGGTCCCTCCTGACCAGATGAGGCCGGCGCAGGCCGCGTTCCCCCGGGCTCCCTCGGAAGCTGCCGCGGAAAACGCGCTCGACCTGCCCCGGGGACCCTGCGGAACCGCCGGCCCCGCGGCGGCAGCGCGCACCAGGGCGGCGGGAGCGCGGCCGCACCTCACGTGCTCGAGCGGCGCGGCTCCAGCGTTGCCCGGCACCGGAAGTGACGCGGTCCCGCGCTCGAAGCCGTTGCCCGCTCGTCGGGATGATGTCACGCCCTCAACCCGACTTCCCCGCCCCGCACGGCCCGGTGGGTGCAGCCCAGCTCCAGGCTGCGCCTTCCCGCCCCGAGGGACACCGACACCGATCACCCTCCATCCGCGGGCCGGAGGACCTTCCCGCCACACTCAACATGGCGGCCGGACACGGGCCACCCCAAACGCTGCCTTCTCCCCTATCCCAGCATGCAGTGCGCTGCGCCCGCTCCCCCTCCTTCCCCTTCCCATGGTGCCCAGCGCGCCGCTCGTTGCCGTTCCCCAAGCAGCAAGATGGCGGACACAATGAGGAGCAGCCGCGTCTCTGCGGCCTGAGTGGGCCGAGCTCAGCCGGAGGGCGCCGCCGGGCCCCGCCGATCGCTTGCTGCCCCCTTCTGCTGCCCCCTGCCTGATCCCCGCCACCCCGCGGGGACCTGCCTGTCCGCTCCCGCAGCCGCTGCCACCACTAGGAGCCCCGCCCGGCTCCTCAGCGCCGCCGCCCTCGGCGCGGCGCGGCCCGGCCCGGCGGCGGAATGAAGCTGACGGACAACGTGCTGCGGAGCTTCCGTGTGGCCAAGGTGTTCCGCGAGAACTCGGATAAGATCAACTGCTTCGACTTCAGCCCCAACGGCGAGACCGTCATCTCCAGCAGCGACGACGACTCTATCGTTCTCTACGACTGCCAGGAGGGCAAGTGAGTGGCGGGGGCCCGGCCTGGCCCACTCTGCCGCCGCGGGAGGGGTGCCTGGGGGAGCTCCTGGGGCGGGGCAGCGAGGGGTGCCGGTTGAGGTTGGCTGTGCCCGTTGCCGCGTTCGGGGAGAAGCAGTGGCTGGCTCCGCACCGGTGCGGCACCCCCGGCCCGTAAGCGGTACGGTGAGCGGTGCGAGTTGCAGCTTTTTTTCCGTTGATTTTTAGTGCAGGTTTCACAGTGGAACCGCAGCGACGTCTGACGCGGCGGGGCCGGAGGGGAGGGTATAAACGGTTAAATTGGGGCGCAGGGATGGGAGCAGCATGGGTTTGTCTGCGGTGTGGGTTTCTGTGCCGGTTATCTCTGATAGGCAGGGTCCAGTGGTGTGGCTGGAGCCGACGATGGTAATTTCCCAAGAGTTCACTGCCGTGAGAACCGAATAGTGGTTTAGCTGAAGGGGCTGAGTCTGGTCACGTTTCCAGGCTCAGAGAGGGGGGGTTAGAGATGGTCAGACTGACATGCTGGGCTTCTCTGGGCTGAATCCTCACTAATTAAAATTGAAGCAGTTGCTCTGAGCAGTCTACAGATGTGCTTTTTTAAATAACCTAATTAGGCTGTAAGTTCTTGGATAAATGCTTTAAGCCAAAAGGTGAAGATGGGGTGGTGTGTGTTTAGTGTAACTTTGAAAAACTCGGTGGTGTTTTACTTCAAACCTAGCTCCTAAGTGGTGTCTGGGAATGCTGCAGATAAAGGTGGTCCTTTGTGCTTTTCTCTAGTTGTTTTCATCCGTAAAGCACAGCTAAAATACCTGTGTGATTTGCATGTGTCTTCAGAGGTGGTCTTAATTTATATTTAATCCATCAAGGTGTATATTGGTTTCCCTTGCTTGAGGGCAATATGTTTCTCACTGAACAGAGTTGCCCAGTTTATCTTCTTTCATTGATTGCAAGATGTTCATCCTGTTCTGCAGATAAGCCCCCAGAAACTTGCACAGCACTTGAGGTATGCTGCTCTTGTTCAGAGGAGAAAAACATGCAAATAAAGCCACCAGTAACACTTGCAGTTGATGTCTTGGAAAGTATGTAAAAGGCATTTGTATTCTATGAGAGTTGGAGCAAACTGAGCCAAATGATGTCATTGTTCTGTTAAAATCTCGGTACAGGTATGCATTTGGCTGCTTTAAATTCTTTTAAGTTTTAATTTTCTTGTGCTGCTTGGTCAAGAGATGTAATTCTGAGGTTTTTGTTTGTTTTGTTTCAAGATTAGCTCGCATACATACAGAAAGTGAAAGAAAACCAAGCATGTGGATTGTAGGAGAGAGAATCAAGTGTATAGGGTAGTGCAGGAGTGAAAATGGCATGGGGGTGCCAGGTGGTAGATGTGTCCGTGTCACTGTATTTTTTAGTAAACCAGGTATTCCTAATCCTTCTGCTTTTTCAAGCAGGCTGAGACATCATGCTTGCTGTGTTTGAAAGATTGCATCCTGCATGCTCTCCTAATTTTGTAGACCACTTATTACATGTTATTTTGCACTTCTATTTAGTTTACTTGCTTTACACATTAAAGTTGTTTGTCTTCCCCGTGTGATAAACTCATTTGAAATGATTCAGTTTTTCTTTGTGTAAGACCAGGTAACTTTATACATATGGTGTCTGCAATGGATTGTATTCTAGATCCTAATCATATACGATAGTAGAAGGGCTGAGTGATGTTAATGCAGATGGTATTGATTGTTTTTCCTCTTTCAAACTCTTAAAGAACAGTTTGATGGGTTGAGAGGCATTTGGTGCTTTCATCCCTATCTCTGTCTAGACTTGCTGTATGCTTTGCAGGCAGAGGGTTTGCTTTAATTAAGTTAAATGGCAGAAGATCGATGGTTGATGCTGCAGTGCTACAGGGCAACAAGAGTAGTTTCATCAAGGTAACCCCTGCTGCAAGAGGCATTTCTCTAGTGGCTATAAAATTAATTTGAAAGGTTCTCACGTACTGTCAATTGACTTAGAAGTGTAGCTGTAATTTTTAGAGGACCTGCTTTTTCCCTCACCTGGAAAGTTTCAGCTGTGTGTTGTCACTGAAGATTCATGTAGAGACAAAGAATCAAATATGAGAATGAGCTTTGTAATGTGGTGGGATTTGGCAGTTCCAGGCCTATAGTTTATGATTGTGGGGTGCTGTTTTTTTTTCTTAAATCACCATTTAAAGGGCCTGAAACTCACTTTCAATGTGCAATTTGCTAATGAATACAATGGCCAGGAGGAAATAATCCTGCATGCTGGGTCTCAGTAGAAGATGCCCTGCTTCATCAAATGTTGATACTTTCCCCATGTGAAAGTGACAGGATTTCCTTGGTTGGTTTATTTTCCTGTTAATGAGCAGCTCTGCAGGTAGAATTAAAATGCAACTGTTTGGTTATGCTTTAGGTACACCCTCACCTTGTTTGCTTTGCATTACCAAAATGAGCCATACAGCTACAACAGTCATTACCAGCATGGCCAAGCCCCATCTCAATGAACTTCAGTTTCTGAAAGTGTCAGAACAGTTTAAACAGTGATGCGTAGCCAGGGGCTGACAGAACAAGGTAATCTTGAAACACAGATTCCCTTATCATGATATTCTGAGTTTAGGCAACAAGCTTGAAAAAGTAGTCCTGTTTCTTCATGAGCATACTGTAATTTTGGACCCGAGATTGCATGTCTAGTTCAAAATGTGTAAACAACTAAATTGTTATTATTTTTAACCCATTCTGCTTCACTGACTACCTCCATTGTAGGCTGTCTCTAAAGCGTAACGGAGAGGCTTACCTGGGACTGTTGTGCTCAGGAATGAACTCTGAAAGCTTTTAGAATGGAATTATGTGCTGGGATGTACAGCAGTCCTTGAGTCTGGGAGCAGGAGGCTCCTTGCTGCAAATTTCCCACCCTGGAGTGATATAATGGTGGATTGGCAAAGGCTTAGCTTGTGTTTTAGTATATTATCTATCTATATAATTATATTTAATATATTATACAAATAAAGAGGTGGTGAATCTGAACTACCCCAAGCTGTGGTGTTTACTAGACATCCCAGCGAGCCTGGTTTTGTATGATGGGTTTTTACCTGCAGTAGTAGTGATTCAAACCAAAGCACTGATAATATTACAAACCTCTCCTGTGTTTTGTTTCATCTGTATAGCATTTCTGTCTGTGATCTTAGGAAGTACTTTTTGACAATATTGTTTGGCTTCGGGTGTGCTGCCTACATTAACCTTAAACTTGGAGTTGTGTTTTGCAGTTTGCTGAAAAATATGTAACGCTTGGTTTCCTTGTTTGTGTGTTTAAGTAGTGGATTGGGAACAGGCAGGCAGTCGTGTGTGAGGTAACATGCTTCTGCTTGTATCAGCTTACATGAGAACTTCACCTTTCTTAAAACATGGAAGTTCTTTCTTTCCTCCTTTTTGGTAAATGGGCTTTTGTCCATCTGTCAGTCTTTATTTTCTGAGCTTCTCTGCTTTAAATGTCTCTCAGATAAAGAAGAGCCAGACTAGACATGAGAGTCTTGGTATGTTTTGAGGTTGGTTGGTTTTTTAATTGTTTGAGGTTTTTTCTGCAATATGGTCAACAGCATAGTTGAGGTAACTACAGAGAGCAGCATTGGGAAGTGTGTCAGGGATAATGTTACAGAACTTTAGTGTCTACATTTACATTTGATGTGTTGCTTTCAGTTTGCAGCATGTTTGCATCTCAAAATTGATTTAAGAATCTACTTAAATGGGGAAAGTCCTATTGAGATTTGGTCTGAGTGGTACAGGTGGTGTACAGAGTTTTGTTACATGTGCTATGTTGGCTTTCAGCTAAGGGAAGCTTGTCCCCAGCAAGTTTGTTTGAAGTCAGAGCACTGTGGCTTCTGCTGGTTGAGAATTAATCTTTAAGAATGAATGCCTTTTTCTGTTCTGATCTGAGAAGTCTCCAACTCATGCTCTTACTTGGGTGTGTCAGTTTGAGGCTAATGAAAACAAGAGAGAGTTGAGCATTTTAGAAATACCTTGTCTGAGGGTGTAGTCTGAAACTTTTCTCTTGGCAGCAGTCTTGGTTTAAAATGCTCCTGCTGTTTGTTTCCATTCCAATGAAGTTGTCTTTGGTTTGTGTTGGTAAAATATTCTGTGGGCTCGTGTAATAACCAGACTTACGAATTTCTGGATTAAAAATAACTCCTGGAAGAGATTGTATGTTTTCTGGTGTTGATCATTACCCAGCTTTGGAACCTCTCTGCTTACCTCAGTTAAGAAGAAAGGGGAAGGAGGCTGCTAGAGACCTTACAATGCTTAAACAGGCAGGCACCTGCTGCAAGATATTCTTATTAACCAGCTGCCTCTAAGTTTATTTGCAGTTTAGATTTCTAGTAACTGCTTACCAGACCCCCAAAATCCAGCCCTATGTTGTCTTCACTCTCACTAGAATGTCTTTAATGCTGTTGCAGAATGTTACATATCAGTTTCATGCTTTAATTAAGGTTGGATATGAGTATAATTCTCCAGCAGTCTGAGAGTCCCTGTGTTACAGTTGCTTTTATAGACTACTGGTGTATATGTATGTGTTTGTGTTAATGCTGAGAAGCCCTAGTCTGAATGAGTCCTGCTGTTCTAGGGTTTGAAGTAACACAGAACAAAAAGACAAATTATTCACATCTAAAATAAGTAGCAGATAAATGAGGGACTTGGGTGGGCAAGGGAATGATGAGACAGTGCTGCCTGACATGCTTCCTCCTTGTAATCTTTTTACAGTAGACATCATGGGAAAAAGAATTTTTGGAGGAGGCATTTTGCAGGTGTTAGAGGAAACCTCAAGCCTAGGGATAGTCTTAGAGAAAGCACAAAGGTGCTTGTTCGAAAATCAAATACAAAAGCTTTTCTTTCTTTGTATGAAAACATCTGACTACTTGAAACAGGCTTGTAATAGCTCACTGAAGGCAGGCCTTGTTAACGTGGTGAGTTTGAGCTTTTTGTTGCAGTGAGTACAATTATTTCTGCTTCCTTCTGACAGACCAAAGAGAACATTGTACAGTAAGAAGTATGGAGTGGACCTCATCAGGTACACACATGCTGCCAACACTGTTGTGTATAGCTCCAACAAAATAGATGGTAAGTGATCCACTGGAGTTGAGTCTTTTTAATCTCCTTCCGCTTAAAACTACATGCTCGGATAAATAGCTGTAAAAAGCTGGGAAAAAAACCCCAAAACAACTTATTAGTGATAAACGCGCTGTCAGAAACAGAGGAATTAATGTTCAACTGTAATGCACAGCTCTGCGATACTCCCTCGGGCATGCTGATGTGAGTTTTGTTCATTCCTGCAATAACTAAGGGATTAAACATTATTAGTGTGATATTCTGTTGTTCACTTTGCTGTTTGATACCAGTGCCATCAGCCTTACTTTCTTACATGTGAAATCAGAATCAGAATCGTTTAGGTTGGAAAAGACCCTTAAGATCATCAAGTCCAACCATAAGCCCAGTACTGCCAACTTGGAAGACACATACAATGAGGCAGAAGGGACATGTGGCAGAAGGCGGGCTACATACTGTCGCTCTGGTGCACACACAAGTCAACTGCAGAGGAAGGGAGGGCAGGAAGTTCAGGTAACTCAGCAGATCACCACCAGACCTGGAGGAAGGAGGTCACAGAGCTTTTTTGAGATTGCCTTTGCTTCTGTTAATCTTTTTTTTGCATGTAATAGAGAGAACACCCACTTTCATGCTGTTTCTACCCAGTCAGTGTCTCTGGTAGCCATGCTCTGTAAATCAGTGACATTGAAGAGCTTGTCGAGCTTGTGACAGGCTCTCTATTAGCCTATTTCTGTTTAAAATACAGATTTAAGAACTGGCACAGTTCACAATGATAGCTACATTAATTCTTCCTAAGGTTGGGGATAGCTAGTGTTCATTTCAAATTCTGAGTTTTGTTTGTTGTAATCAGTCTCTGAGAGTTTTCCAGTGAACAAATCTCTTAGCACAGCACTTTACAAATGGGTTTTAACACCATTTGTCAACTCTCAATCATTTCTGTAGTAGTGGTTTGGTTTTGGTTTTTGCTTTGCAGAGAGGGGTATTGACAGTAGAGATACTGGTGCCTTGTGGTGTGTGCTAGGTTACTTGAGGAAGTTAAAGAAATGTGAGTTGAGAGCACATGGAAGTTGAGTTAGGAAGTCAAGTGAAACTAGAACAAGCGGGACCTGAAACTAGAAGAACACGAGAGTTTCCAATGGAATTGGATTTAATGGTGTGAAAGGATTAAAAGTTTGGTAGCCTACTTACTATCTTTTTTATTAAATCATTACTTTTATGCTACGTTTCTGACTTGGCTGTAATTTACAATTAAATAACAACCATTTAGTGAAGCATTTAATGCCATTTTGAGTTCTTAATTTTTGTTTGTAAGCACTGGTAAGCCTTTCAGGAACTAAAACTTAAGAGGTTTCATCCTGCAGGGTTGCATTATGATAAATACTAAATGAGAAGAAAAGAAAAAGGTAGAATGTGAAAGTATTTGTTGCTGTTATAAACCATAAGCCTAATAAAACCAGCAGTGTGTTATGTAGGGGTCCACATACTCTGTGGTCCCTAATGCATGCAGTCTTGGGCAAGATGCGTTGTGTTCAACATGTTACAGAGTTATCGGGAGGGAAAATTAACCCAGGAGCGTGTTACAGGAGTGCTGGTGCTTGCTGCAAGCATTTTATGTGTCGGAGTTTTACTTCTGAAGATTTCCTCAAGATCTTTGAACCCCGTTCTTCTTGCCTGATTCCAGGCTGAGGTAGTAGTTTGTACAGTTTGAGGGTCTATGATACCACCCGGTACAGGAGATAACTGTACAGGCCACTGCCTTGCCTGGGACAGAGCACTGCCAACAAACAGGCTGACAAAGGATCACAGTTCCCCAGTGCTTCCTCTTTAGCAAGGAAGACGAAGTTCTGCATGGATACTCCAGGTAATGACAGTTCTTGCAGGAAAAACTAGAGATATGTTTTAACAGCAGGCTTGAAGTATGTCGGGTCTGGCCGTGATGAGATGTGATGCTGTCTTGAGGTTTTGTGATTCGGACAGTCACCTCAGGTCACTTAGAGCCTTTCAGAATGGTGTGTCACCAGCATGTTTTTCCAGTTTGATCAATCTCCTTTAGTTTTTGTCAGGTACAGGAGGGTGGTCTAGAACTGTGCTGTCAGCTTCACATGAAACCTCAGGCAAAAAAAAGCCAACAACAACTTGATCTTTTTTTCACAGAAACTAAATATGCTGAATGAGCCTTTCAGAAACTTCTGAACACAGTAACCTGTATGAGAGCGACAATCTTGCATCCCCTTGGTTCTTGTTCTTTCAAGTAAAAAGTAAAAATGTCCTTTTCCTTGAGTTTATCTGTGGAGCCTTAGCAGGGCTTGTTCCATCAGTATGAAGTCAGTGTGTAGTACAGGTACAAAATGCAGATCTCTTCCATCCAACAACTGCGTAGACCAGTGTCTTCCAGCTGGTGTGAGAAGGGATTTTGCTGGTACTGCTTTGAGGTTTAAGCTGTGCTCTTCATGTGTCATCACTCAGAGACATCTGCACATAAAGATAAAAAAGTGGCTTCTGTGCTTTAATAGTTTCCTTTCTTTTAATCTTGGATGAAGGTCTCAACAGCATCTTCTAAAATTGTGGGCTACTCTTGGTATGTTCATCTGTACTCAATAAAATTATCCCTTGAGAAAAGTGGTGCTGCTCTGATTTACTCTGTTTTTAAGACTGTTTTAAGTGGACTAAGCTTTAGATTATTCCTTTGTCCTAAAGCTTAGCGGCTCTAGGTGCCAAGAATGTGTGAAGCTGTTGATTGTCAGTCTTGACCTGGCTTCGAAGTTCATTTTTTATCTTCTCTTCACTTAAATGCACATTCACACATTACCTGTGCTTACTGTTTAGTTGGGAGACTTCTTTGCTGGATGTGTACATAGATAAGACAGCAAGATTCATGCTGTATGCAAAAAAAAATGGTGGTAGTATCAACTTCATAATTTGATACTCCCAGTTTTGTGAGAATGATGGAATAAAATGTCCTGGTACTTAAACCATTAAGATGTAATACAACTTCAGGCTGTGGGAAGTATCTTTTTCTGGTGCCTGATTTCCATTCCTGCCTTGAAAAATGAGTTGTTTTATGTCTGTTTCTAACTCGATTCTGTTTGAAAGCTTGACTTGAAATCAAATGACCAGACTTATTCACTGTGGCAAGATTACTGTGTGGGAAGCAAGTTTAATGTGTGACTGCTTTGAGATAATGTTGGATTTGTGGTGTAATGAAGCTTTTGGTTTGTTTCTGGTTTCAGATACAATCCGATACCTTTCCCTGCATGACAACAAATACATTCGCTATTTCCCAGGGCATACAAAAAGGTAAGATGTGGCTTGGAGGCAGTGCAGGAGAAGTTGAAATAGTGATTGTAATGAGCTTGAGTTACGTTACAGTTAGTTCACTCCAGTTTTTGTTTTGTGTTCATGGCAATTACAAGCTTGTACACAGCTGTTGCGTAGGTGGTGTTCTGTTTACTTCTTTTGTGTGTCTAATGCATGTGGTCTTCTGTGTTGCAGAGTTGTTGCTCTTTCAATGTCTCCAGTAGATGACACTTTTATTTCTGGATCCCTTGATAAAACTATTCGACTTTGGGATCTCCGTTCTCCAAATTGCCAGGTAGGATATCAAATTCATGTACGTAGGATGTTGCATTTTCAGTTAAAGGGTGAAAAATGGACGTGTGCTCATTATAAAACAGAAAACCTGCCAGGAATGTCTGCTGCTGGTTTAGTGTTCACACCTTCCTGGAATGCTGTGGGAGCCTGGATCAGAAATCTGCGGTTGTGTTGTGTAACATCACTCACTTTCACCTATGGCTCTGATGAAGAGGTGCTGGGAAGAGCAAGAAATAACACCCACAGTTGATCAAACAAGAGGAGAGCTGGGTGTTGTCAGGACACTACCCTGTGCAGAGTGTCCTCTCTTTGCTGGCATCTCTCCTGGGTTAGGAATGTATCTTGCCTGAGTGTTACAGCGTGTGTTTAAAATTGAAGACTTGATGCAATGAAATGTGAACAAACTGATGATCTAAGGTAACACAGCAGCCATATGGTCTACCCCTCCTTATATCACCTTTGTTCATCAGACCTGTTTGTGAGCAGATTGAACTTTCTAGCAAGGGAAAACTTTTGGGTTTATTTCCTTTTTTTGCTGGAATATTTTACATTGTCAAGTGGAAACAGGCTTGTGTGAACTGAGAGAAGTACCAGAGCTAGCAGCAAGGTCGGGAATGAAAGGCTAGGGTTAGAATCTGCCTTTTACTGATGATAAGCTGTGTGCACTGACAGCTTGGAAAGCTAACCCTATACTGGGCTGCATTGAAAGAAGAGTGACCAGCAGGTTGAAGGAGGTGATTCTACCCCTCTGCTCTGCTCTTGTGAGACCCCGCTTGGAGTATTTGGTATAGTTCTGGTGTCCACAACATAAGAAGGGCATGGAGCTGTTGGAGCAAGTCCAGAGGAGGGCCGTGAGGATGCTCAGGGACTGGAGCACCTCCTGTGTGAAGACAGGCTGAGAAAGTTGGGGCTGTTCAGCCTGGAGAAGGCTGCATGAAGACCTCAGAGCAGCCTTCCAGTATCTGAAGGGGGCTACAAGGATGCTGAAGGGAGGACTGTAGTGACAGGACAAGGGGTAACGGGTTCAGACGTAAACAGGGGAATTCAGGTTAGATGTAAGGAAGAAGTTCTTTACTGTGAGAGTGGTGAAGTACTGGAACAGGTTGACTAAAGAAGTGATAAATGCTCCATCCCTGGCAGTGCTGAAGGCCAGGTTAGACAGAGCCTTGGGTGACATAGTCTAGTGTGTGGTGTCCCTGCCCATGGCAAGGAGGTTGGAACTATATAATCTTAAGGTCCTTGCCAACCCTGGTTATTCTGTGGTTCTGTGTAGCATTGTGCTCTCATTTTCCTGTCTCACTAGGACCATTTTGCTAATGAAAGAAGGCTGTTTACTTATTCCAGGTGATGTAACTGTGAATGCAACATGAAGAAAAGGTTATATTTCTTACAAAATAGTTTTAACTGTTTTAAAACCATACCAAGGTCTTTCTGACAAGAAATGTTAATTTTGCCTTTCCCTTGGGATGAGCCTCAGTCTTTAAGTTGCTACAGATGAGACAGGGTGGTAAATTCAGAAGCAGTTCTGTAGCCTGTAGTTGTAAGAGTGGTAAAACTAGGACTTGTGACTGGAAGCTGCGTCCTGCAAAGTCTGGGAAACCGGTTTAGGAAGCGTGTCACTTGTAACTTTCAGTTTGCCCATGAGGTGGCAGCCGTACTGCCTGGAAATGTCATCGGCAATCCAGAGATACCCCACTTGCAAGGCTGGCTTACAGCTCAGGCCTCAGACATCACAGGAAAAGTGGCTGCAATTGGGAAGATAGTAGTAGTAATGTCTCCAAAGAAAAATGATATCTCAGAAATGCAGAAGCTTCTTAAATAAGATCAGATCTTTCTTTGAACTGACAATACATTTATGTGCATACAGTTACATGAAGGCATTTGGCCAATACACACAGACCTGCCAGACAGGATACAAAAATCATGTATCTTGTTGCCTTTACCAAATTTTACTCAAGTCTTTTCTACTATGTGAGTTAAGGAAAAATTGACATTAAAAATAAGCACTGATAGTAATCTGTCAATTTTAACATTGTAAGATGTGTTGGCTTCCAGCAGACTTGAATTTTCATTAAGCAGGCAGGGATAGTTAAGCAGTGGTGCTCTCTGGAGCTGTTTGTATTTCCCCTCCTTCACAACCACCATTGGTAGAGCATTGCTGTCAGTCCAGGCAGCAGTGTTTTGTGATGCTGTCTGGTGTGGTTATTGATACAGCCACATCATCCTCCCTTCTCTGGGAACCTTTTGAGTGGATGTGAGCTCAAATGAGGTCTTTATTTAGTCTAATGTAAACTTCATCATTGCAGCAAACTAGAAGCTCCATATGGTGACCTGAAGTGGTCAGACTTGCTTTTGAGAAGCTGAATTTTGAATCTTAGTGAAACCTCAGCATTTACAATTGAAATCAAGTTGTTCAACACACAGGCTGCTGTCCAGAAGGGTGACGATAGAAATGTATCAGTTTCACAAAATAATTTGGACTGCTTCTGGTTTCTAGGGTTTAATGCATCTCCAAGGGAAGCCTGTGTGTTCTTTTGACCCAGAAGGGTTGATTTTTGCTGCTGGAGTCAATTCTGAAATGGTGAAGCTTTATGACCTCCGTTCTTTTGACAAGGTGAGCTACATTAATGTCACTTCTTATGCTTTTTAGCCTCCAAGAAGTAGTCTAAACTCTGCACAGAGGCTGGATTTCTTTACTCCATCTTACTCTCTGGGATGCCTGCTTGACAGTACCTGTGTTAGACAGAAAAGGATGCATGCTGCCACCAAATCCTGAAACCCATTCTTGAGCCAGTGTTAAAGTTTACTTCTGATAACTCTTCAACCTGTTCCAGACTCCTGTTTAGGCTTGCTGTTGTTGTGATGTGGAGTTTGGTTTGTTTTCCTTGCTGCTTTTTCTGGAAGAACACTAGCAAAGATGGAGGGAGAATTGTCAGAAAGAATGGAAATTTCAAAGGAGGCTATAATTAGGTGGCAGCTGAGCTTAGTTAGTTCCATGGGTTTCAGAAAGTCAGATGACAATAACACTGGCACAGGCTCTTTCTCTAACCTCACTTAGCACCCTTGTGAGAAACCATCCTACTTTAAATTGATTTCTGCTGTTGAATGTGGTAGGGTATGGGATTGTTGGGTGATGAAGTGCCCCACTGTGGCTCTTTTTTGCTGTGGAAACTGGATTCATACTTTAAATATTACACATGCAATGACATCTTTTTGCCATGAGACATTCCTTTGGTATCTTGTCACTAAATGCTTTCTTTTGAAAAATCCAGCTGTTTCCTCAGCTGAAGGCTAAAATCAGCTTCCTAACAGCAACACGTGCAGAATCTACATCATATTTCCCATTTTTCGTTTGAAGGGGCCATTTGCTACGTTTAAGATGCAGTATGATCGAACATGTGAGTGGACAGGCCTGAAGTTTAGTAACGACGGCAAACTCATCCTCATATCAACTAATGGAGGGTTCATTCGGCTGATTGATGCCTTTAAAGGAGCTGTCCTGCATACATTTGGGGTGAGCATGCTGCCTGGGCTACCTGCTTGAAACTCAGTTTTGGAAACAGGTGCCCTTCGGTTGTGGGATGGCTGTGGACACACTCTCTACTACATCTTCTCCTGTTTTGTGCCATAGGGTTATAACAATAGTAAGGCTGTCACACTGGAGGCATCATTCACCCCAGACTCTCAATTCATCATGATAGGTAAGATAATTCCTCTTTCAGTGCTCTGAAATTAGGTGTATTACATAGGACTTAAGTTGTATGTGGGAAGCAGAATGTATTTAAATAATACAATGCCTCTGTCAACTTTCCTTGCACTGGCAGTTTTGTTTTGTTAGTTCACTCAGCATTTTCTAGGCTGAATGTAGGTGGGCCTGCAAAAATACTTTCTGGTTTTTCCTTTATGTAGGAATACTATTCCAAACAAGATAAGAAACCAACAAAGCGTTGTAGTGTGTGGAGACCTGTCATATAAATTATGGCAGTGATCCTCATCCTGTGGTTTTGGTGCACTCATGGGCTGCCTCAAAGCATATCAGGGCTGTCTGTTGTGCTCTGTCCTCCACTGCCTGATGAGCAGTGCTTGGGTGATGAGTCTCTTAGCCTGATGTGTTTGTACAGCCCTGGGGGGTAGTCCTGCCCCAGTGACATGTGGGGCAGCTGTGTTTTGTTCATGTCTGTGGAACTAGCTCTGCTTAACCCTTGCTAGAAGCAGTAGGCATCAGCCTGATGGCTCTGACTGTATGATTCCTCTGGCTCATGCCCCTTCCTCACTCCTGCAGGGAGAGGGACCCTTGAGTGAAGTGAGTGCGAAAAAGCAGTTGTCACTGCTGTAAAGCTTGATGCTGCAGGTTGGTCCCCCCAGGATAAGCACTTCAGGCACTCTGCTGCCCAGCAGGACCTGTGAACACAAATCAGGTGCATCTGTGTAGTGCTGCCCTCTCCTAGCACTTCTTGTTTGTTCTTGCTTACACGGCTGGTACATCAAGTATGTTTTAACTGTGGTAATTGGTATCTGGATCCTCATTTTTCTTGGATGAGTGATGGTCTTGGCAAAGCTCCTTTTTCTTGTTCTAGCTGAGAACTTCCTGGTTCCAGAGAAGGGTTGGGTTCTTTGTTGGGTCTGTCTCTGGAGAGCACTTTATTGCACATATTTACCTTCCTGTTGTGCCCTTCCAAATGAAAACTGTAGTGGAAGAAGTTCCAGAACACTTATTTCTGTTCAGTTTTTACATGTGGTTAAGTTATAACTTGTGTTTTTTTTAATTTTTCCTTCCTGGAGGGCTGTAACTACAGAAGCAGAAGAAAATTCCTTGCCTTTTTTTATTAGGAATCTTATTTAAAACGAGGCTAGAGCAGAATTGAATTATAAATATGGTATGTGCCCAGCCTCAGAGTTTGCAAAATGCCATTTTAAAGGAAAAAAACCTGTCCTGTTGTAGCAATGTGGAGAGTTGACATGTCCAGTGAAGCTTCTGGTATTTGGTCTAATGTATTGCAGTGAGGTTACCCTCAACAGTAAAGCCTTTGATTTGATTTTGTGCTTACCAAGTGCAGTATTATCTCCTCCTGTCTGAACTGGGAACTTGTGTGAACCAGGACTCTCACATCAGCTTTTGGCCTCTTGCACACTGATGCACATTGGCAAGGGTCTTTCCTCCTCAGCTGAGTGCTGTCAGCTCTCCTTGTCCTCTGGGTGACTGTAGCTGTAAACCCCTTCACCAGAAGAGCATTGCACTGGGATGTGTAGTTGAGTGTCTGCAGTGTAAATACATAAACTGCCATTTGGATAAAGGTGTGTAAACTTGAGATGCTTTGTAAATGCCCTAGTGATAATTTTTAAGCTTAAACTATGAGGATGAGGCATGCTTGTTCCTGCAGTTCTCTGACAGAAAAGAACATAATGTTCTTCAGTTTCACTGCTGGCCTCTCCCATGTATCTTCAATATCTTATTTTCCACTCCTGCCTGCAGGTTCAGAGGATGGGAAGATTCATGTTTGGAATGGGGAAAGTGGAATGAAGGTGGCTGTGCTGGATGGGAAACACACAGGCCCTATAACCTGTCTGCAGTTCAATCCAAAATTCATGACTTTTGCTAGTGCATGTTCCAATATGGTAAGGAAAGTGTTTTAAATTGCTTCTAACTGGGTGAGGTGCTGACCGTTTTTAGAAATGGATCTCATAAGTCCCAGTGCCACTGATGGGTATTTCCTTGGGCTTTGGTGAGAGCCAGGCCCCTGTTCTCTGGCTTAATTGCACCTCACCTGGCAAGTAGATACATGGGGCAGCAGACCTGGCAAGCCAGTGTTTGAACATACACATGAAAGCAGAACAGCGAGTGAATGCACATGCAGAAGTATGAGTTCTTTAGGTTACTGCATATGGCTGGTGTTTTCAGTTTGTGTAATACTGGCTTGCTCTGGAGAGCATGCAGAGCAAACCAAGGATTGTACCCTTCAGCTGCTGGGAGAGTAGTGCTGCCTCTTTGGTAGTCTCTCCTTGTATGCTTATAGAAGGTAGCAGAGATCAGCTCCTGCAGTGTGTTGCAGGAAAGATCTGTTTTCTGTAAGATGTTCTTTCTTCCCTTTTCCCTAGGCCTTCTGGTTGCCAACTATCGACGACTAATTCCTCCACTGAAGCTGCTGGCAGATGACTCCCATACTGCTAACAGCAGCACATTATTGCAAGCATAGTATTGGAATTGCCTGAGTCTCCTAGACTGCATTCCTGTTCCCGAGTATGTTTCCATATGTCTTACCTTTATTTGCCGCGTTCCTTTGGAAGGACTCCTCCACTCAGCCTCCTAGCATGTTCAGAAGCAGCATGCTACACAACCTTACTTTCTAGTCTGTCCCCAGCAGGCTTCAGCTGAAGTTGGAACTGACACAGTATTATTTCTAAGAGCAATGAAGTCTGTTTTATTTACAAAATGTTTGTGGCATTTTTTTAAGCTGTAATTGTGTGTTTTCCTTCTGTAAGTGCACAAGGCTGTTGATGTTCCAAGGTGGAACGTGCAGTTCCTTCCCGTAAGTGCAGGTTTTTAACATCTGGGATCCCTGGTTTCACTGCAGCCCACAGATGGGAAGTCACTTCTGTGCCAAATGCGAACACTGACAGTTTTCAACTTACACAGCAGATACTGGATTCTCTTGCAGTGGAACATGCACCAGAAGAGCAGGTGACTGTAAATATACATGGTACAACCTGTCATCCTTTCATTTGGCGATTTAGTGTACAACAAACCATACAGGTTTTGTCCACTGCCAGAGCTTGCCAAAGCCTCTTTGCTGTTTGTTGTGCCAGCATCCCAGAGGGCACAGACAGTACTGAGGAGGTCCGGCTGGTATCCCAAGCAATAAAGGAGCCTGTCAGCAGGAAGGTGGAGAAACCAAACCGAGACTGAAAGCACAGCCTGTGTCTGTGCATCTTCCTTATGTATCATCTTGCCTGATCTCATTTGTAAATACCTGGGGGAGGGGAGGGCAGTGGGAATGGGCCATATTTTTTTACTTTTAGATATTAAAGAAAGTGATGTGGGCCAGTATTGTGGGGTGCTTAGGCTGTTGACCTCCACCAGTGCAGTTTTCCCCTCCTGGTTTGTAAATAAGCCCCATTAAATTTTTCCCACACCTGGCATAGACCTGCATCCCATTTATAAAACTGACAAACAGTTCATGCATTTTATCGCAGGTCCTGCAGGTTTGGGGTGATAGCTCTGAAAGAGCAATGCTTCCTTGGTAGAACTGAGTTTTACAACTTTTATGTGTGACTGTGCTGACTCTGCTTTGCTGCAGCCCTACTCCGAGGAATACCCCTGTACGGAGCTGGAAGAGATGTCTTCCTCTGCTCCAGAGGGGCCTGTGTGTGAGTTGCATGGAAAGGTTGGCAAGCTGGTCTTCATACCTGGTTCCAGTTTATTCTTCCTGCAGTGCTGTAGTGATAAATGCATCCGTCAGCAGGCTGGGAAAGGCTGAGTATAAATGTGGTATTCATTGTGTTCTTGCCTTTCCAAATAGACTTGGGTTTATGTGCTGTGCTACAGCTTGGAGAGTTGATTCTTTCCCTCACCCTGTCATGTGTGCTTTCCACATTCCTACATGTAATATGCTGGTAAGGTGACAGGCAGAGGAATGGGCATGTTCTCCCTGCTCTCAAGTGCCAGTCCATACAGGGGGGTCACGCTCAAGCATTTTACCTTGGGTCGTTTATCTGGATGTTTCCTATTGCAGCCAAGTTCATCTCAGCTGATGGGCCCTGTATATAATTGGAGCATGTCTCCCTGGAAAAGTCAATCGGGAGGAGGAGCTGCTTCTGTTTTACTTTTTCTCTGCAGTCCTTGTCAGTGGGAATGTGCTGCGCTAAGAGCTGGGGATGGGGAGTGAGCATTTCTCCACTGCTGGTTCCTTTAAAGCAGCAGCAGGTGCTCAGCTCCAGCATTTGCCTGTGGCAGTGGGCAGGAGGACTGGCACTGGGCACTCCCATAAACCTCGTGTTTGGATCACTCCTGTGGTTGAAGCTCCTCTGTAGGCTCTGTGGCTTGCCTCTGCTGATGCTGCCACAGGAGAGCCATTCCAGATGGCACAGTTCTGCAGTGTGAATTTGCTGTCCTCCAGACTGAAGGAGGAAAGGGAACAGTGGACTGCTCTTTTCCATTGTGCCAAAACAGGCCTGCTGTTGGAGATGCAGATGAGATTCATGCTGTCCCACTGTCACCTATAAATGCCCAGCAGGAAGGGAGATGGTTATCTCTGTCCTCCAGTTGACTGCTTTCTCCAGCTGCCTCTTCCACTCAGTATTGTTGCATTTCAGGCTGCTTGGTGCTATTTTACCTTTGTTGGTGTTTCTGAAAGCAGCCGTATTTTGCAGTGGTTTGTATCATTACAGGTGTTTGGGGTTTGTATTCTTGTCCTGGGTTTAGCAGCAGCAGTCGTTTTTTCTCCTCTTGAGGTTTCCTTGGCCTATGCTGAAGGTTTTAAGAGTTAAACTTTCAGTAGCAAATCATCTTTCAGGGTTTTACCAAGTCTGTTGCTTGAGGAAGTGAGCAGACAGGGAAGAATTTGAAGTCTTATTCTGAAAATGCTCTTTGCTGATGTGGTTTGAGCACTTGTCTAAAGACTGTGTTTCAGCTCTCTTCTACTTGCCATGGTATAAACCATTGTGCGTTGCAGCATGAAATCTTACAGAAAGGAGGAACAAAGGACTGATCTGGGAGGACACGTACATTAAGAACATCAGTGCTTTTGGGAGCGAAGATAAATGTACAGGTTTGTGTACAACATGGCACTAACACCTAGTTCAAAATCAAAGCCTTCCCAGGGCTGATTGCTGCCCGCAGAGGCATCTTGCTTGGCTGATGTAGCACCCGTTTTCCACCTGCTTTAAAATGTGCCAAGTATTGTCAGGGAACTGGAGTATCACGTGTTGCTAGATTAGATGGGAAAGGTGAATAAAGCTTTTAGCTTCCATGTGCTTCTCTAAAGACCTTTCTTCAGAACAAGGTGGAATTGTGACTGAAGAGACCACCTCTAAATAAGTAGTGGTGGTGGCTGAGCCGCATCTGCATGGGCTGCAGGAGATCTTGGCTGTAATTCTCTTCTCACAAGTTAATCTTTAAGAGATCTCTCTTTAATTGATGCTCCCATATCCTCAGTTCATGTCCCAGCCCCTGTGCTTGGGGGGGCACAGCAACAACTGAGTGAACAAATTTGGAAGCAGCAGTGTTATCTTTTCCAATGCCTCTTGACTACCTTTGCACTTTAAGAGACTTCACCTTGGGTTTGGGTCAGGGGTGAGGATTCTGGTGAGCCTTTTGGAAATTGGTCTCTTTGGTCATGAGCTGGTTATGGGGAGTTTGACTCCTGGGTGGTATCTGCCACATGGGTGTAAATACATAAAGTCAAATTCTGCTTTGTCACAAAATACTACATATGTGGAGAATTCAGTGTTGTGGCTGTTAATAAATATTTTGTAGAGATACCCCTCGAGTGCTGTAAATTCTGCATTTGTTCTGTGTGATACAGCTTGCTGGTTTCCTAGAGGGGGTTTAAAGGCTCCTTCATTTTGGAATGTATGAAATTCTCTAGTGGAACTTGTGAGCTATTCCAACATAAATTGTCCACTTAAAGAGGTTTCTCTTGCCTAGAAATGTGCCAGGATAGGGAAGACAGCTACTTGCTAAGTACCCCTAGGTAGAGGGGTGTTCACAGAAGCTTGTGGTCTGGAGGGAAGAGCTGAGCCCTTTCTCAGCAGGAAGGTGGGGAAATAGCTGCTTGTTTTGGAGTAACAGGAGACCTGGATCACTAAAGTCAATGTGTGTGTGTGTATATAATTACAGCAGCTGCTAAGGGGATTGGGATCCAGCACCAAGATAACATGGGTAAAACCCTGTGCATTGTTTCCAGGTTAAACTTCCAGGGGGAAAAGCAAAACTGGAGAGAAATGGGTTTTGTTCTATCCCTTACTTGAACCACAAGGAGGCAGCTGAAAGGCCTCTTCATTCCTGGGTCCAGGCTTCCCACTGCAGGAAATCATCTCCTGACACTGTCCTTGGGGTAGTCCTGCTGAGGGAACACTTCTAGTGACCAACTGGGTTTTGGCAGAGACAAATCCAGAAAAGGCAGAAACTCCCTGCAGTTTTCTAAGGCTGTTTTTCTCCCTCAGGAATGTGTAAAACCTCGGATAGGTTTTACTCCTGTCAGATGCATGGAGGGGGGGAGGGAGGGAAGGAAGTATTTTTATTTGGACTTTTCATCCTTGTGCAACTGAAGCATGAGCTGGGGTTTGTCTGCTTCACCAGGGAATCTTGCAACTTGTGTAGTGAATGATGAAACCCAAAGTGAGGGCTTGGGGAGATGGAAAGCTTGTCCAGACCTGAATTTGCCTGGCTAATGAATGGGCTGAAGAGGAGATCCTTGGAGTTCAAGGCACAACTCTGGCATGTCTCCTGCTCTAATGAGTGCAAGATGCAGCACTGCGAACAGATTTAAACAAACCGGTTTTATTGTACTCCAAACCCTTCTACTACATCAGCTGATGAACTTAAACCACTTTGGTTCTCATTGGAGCTCCTGCTACAAAACCAGCTTTGCTGTCAGAAAAGACCTGAACGAACAGAGAAAGTGAAAGCAAGCATTGTGGACCACGAGTTGTTAGAAACGTGTACATTGCATTATGTACCCATATACTTAACTGCTCTTAAATAACAGTAAGGCACGTATCTTTACACAGGAGGCTCCTGTATGGCAGTGTCTGGCTTCATCTGTTAACATGCTGTGTTTCAAGGTAGTACTGCCTACAGGTGGCAGGTTTCCCAAGAGGTCTGGGCTCTGCCTCAGCATTGGCATTACATAGCAGCTCCTGGGTTTTCAGCACATCTTGAGTTACAGCAAACAGATACGATGCCGGTGCATCCAGTTTTACACACTGTAGTTCAAGTCTGATTAAAAGGCAGCTCTGGAGACTGGATCTCAGCTGATCTTCAGTATTGAGAAGGGTCACCAGAGATTCAAGTCTCACTGTACTGCAAAGGTGGTGGAAGTACCATTCAGTTTGTGTGGCCCCCCTTGCAATTTCTCCTTAGCCTAACAATGAGAAAGGAGTAAGGGGAATGCTTTGTTGCAGAATGTTCCTCTCTTAAACGTTCGTAAGGAGCTAATGTTCTTGTTGATCTTCTGCTAAGCCCTGCTGTGCATTTTCAGGTTCCACTGCAGATGGTTTCACTGGAAGAGAGTGTACAAGCACAGCAGAAATCCCTCAGTGCTGGTTGATGCTGAACAGTACCACAGCAGGGGACACAGAGAACCCGTGCCTCATGCAAAGAAGCAGTCAGTTCTCATCCCGGTTGTGCAGTGGGATGACAAACACAGAGATGTCATCATAGGATGCCTCGTGGTTGTCATCCAGCATCCACTGGTGGCCTCTCTTCTTCCCCCTTGCTCTGCATACCAAACACTTGGCCACTTTGGAAAATCTGTAGGTGGAAAAAATGCAACGTTTTGGTTAACACATCACTATTCCCTTCAGAACATCATTGAGATGTGGCTTTGTTGTAAAAATAGAAGGGTTGTTTTAAGACACCAGCTTTATCTTTGTTTCTTTAGGATGGGGAAAGATTAGGATGCAGTTTCCAGAGTCACAGAAAAGACTGCTTGGTGGTGCTGGAGCTGACCTAGAACCAGAGTGATCTCGGCATGGTTTTGGTTTGACCAGGGTCTTTGGAAGAGAAAACAATGGCAAAGCTGCCATTACCTGTGAGGATCTGTCCTGTTTTCTTCAAGGAAGCTCCTGACCATATGAGCTACCTCTTTGTTGCACAGAACATCCCAAAGACCATCAGTTGCCATGATGAGGACATCGTCTTCCTTAATGTCGTGCAGAGCAAAGTCGAATACTTTCACCTGGAAAGCACAGGAGTACATCAGTGACAGTTCTTTCAATGTACCAGAGTGGTAGGAGATGACTTTTCCCAGAGGTGACAAAGTGGGAACAGAGTGCTTTGACTCTTTTACATCCCCTTGCTGCTATGCTTCTAGATTCTTCTGTCTGAAGGATTTTCTGGCAGCGTGCTGAGAGGTGGATGGGGGATGGAAAAAGGACACGGCTAAAACCTGCCAGGTCTGTAAAAGGTGGGTGCTACAGAGGATGAGCAACATGTTTAATTCCATGCTGCAGTTCCCATTTCCTGTGACTGACCTTCGGGATGCAGGAGAGGAAAGGTTTGACTTCAATGTTGGTGTCGATGACTTCGAGCTGGTGATCCCCCAGACCTCGAGACACAGCCAGAGTCCCCAGCAAGCGAGCCTGGCCCAAACAGAGCAAAACAGCATTGAAACATAAGAACATGGCACCTTTAAAGGCTGACATGTGGCTGGTCCTGACTGATCTGTGTGTTGCCTTTAGGACCTTTCTCCAAGCATCACCCAGAACAGCCCCATGAGACATCAGAGATGGAGGAGTGATGAGAAGCGATGACCATCACAGTGTGAGTGTGGAGACAGCCTGCATGTGGGTGGTTCCTGATGGCCAGAGGGGTGCTCTGGAGTTACATGTACTCTGAGTAATGCTACAGACCTCAGGAAGCTTGTGGTGGCATCTTGCTCTTGATTTGGGGTGGTGAGGAAGAAAACTGAGGGGGGGTCCTTTTCTCCTTGCAAAGGTAGCATGTGGGTTGTAGTGCTGGGGTAGGTGACAGGGCTTTCTGCTCTACCCCAGACACCGGATGTGTGCAGTCCTTGCTTCTCCCTGTCTTCTCCTTCCTTCTACAGGCTCCTTTTCTCAGCCTTTCCTTGAGGAAATGGGTTTGTGGGAAAGGTGCTAGTTAGAGCTGGAGGAGACAGCCCAAAGTCATATACTGCAATAAGTTCTAATCTGAAATGAGTTCTTGTGTGCAAGGGGAGATGAGGAAAGGGCAGCCTCCCTCAAGGCTGGCTTCTCTGCTAGCAAGTACTCTGCTGTCAGGGGGCTCTGGTTTACACTTACAGGCAGCATGGTTCTAGCAAGGAGAGCTGCTGTATTGGGGCTGCAGAGTGCACCATGCTGGAGAGCCCCAGGATGTGACAGTGAGTGACAGGGACACTGAGGACCGCAGCAGACTTGCCTCTGCCTTCCCAGTACATAAAGCATTAAGCTACCTGTTTCCCATGACCATGGACAAGAGGATACTTGAGGTCAGCTTTCTCCACTGTCTTGTATCCCCTAGAACAGAGAAGTCACTATTCATTTGGGATTTCTCTGACTCGATGGTACAAGCCAGCCCGAGCTGTGATTCAACCCTTGCACTGCCCCCATGCACAGGCAGCTGAGTGACTTGCTGAAGCAGATTAAGTGAAGAGGAGGACCCTTTGCTGAATACCCAGCTGTTTTTCCCTCTCCCTTTCCTCCCCAGCTAGTACCTGCACCAGGCTAGGACTCCCTGCACCAGCCCCACATTGTGTGATCCCAGAAGGATCATCTTGGCTGTCCCCTGACTGCTCTGCTTTGCTTTACCTGGCACAGCTTCGCACTACCAAGCCTGCTGCTCTCACCAGTGGGGCATGGCCCTTTTCCCTTCACCTCCCCATCACTGTGAGCAGGTGAAGCTGCCCTGTGCTGCGGCCTCAGGCAGAAAGGACTCACCAGCCCTCCATGAAGTAATCCCGGTACAGGACTTTCTGCCCCACGTCGTCTCCCTTCAACCTCCGTGGAAACTCGAAGCGCGTGAACTCCCCACCCAGAAGCTTAGGGAAGAGAAAAGCCTGGAGGAGGGAAAGAAGATGTGAGGATGAACAGGTTCTGCTTCAGCACAGCGGTGCTTTGGGACTGGCACTCCCAGCAGCAGAAGAGAACTGGGAAAGCACATTCCAAAGAGGACATGAGCATCTCCCATCCTGAAGGCTGTCGGTTGGATCTCGTCCCCAGTGACAAATGACATTCTGGCCACACACACTGGCCTTTGAGGAAAGGTGGAGGTCCTCCTTGCTACAAGCCCCCAGTGGGAAACTCGCATGCGTGGAGGGAGTCACTCACCAAGTGCTGGATTCGCTGCCTCTCAGTCTCAGGTGTGAACTCGCAGCTCATGGGCACTATGTTGTCCTTCAGAACAAGAACCGCCCTACGAGAGGGAAGAGGCAAAGAGCTGAACTGTGTCTGTCCTTGCAGCCTTCCTTTTACTGTAGCTAACCCCAGTGTTAGCCAGATGTGGGCTGAGGGTAACCAGCAGCAGAACAATGCCAGAGAATAACTCTGCACATTCATAAATGTTGATGTGTTTTAATTCCACTGCAATTGCACTGGTTTGACAATGACAGAGCTCACTGCTATAAGAATCGTGGGCTATGGCCCAGTGAGGAAGCTCTTGAGGATCCCTTCAGTAAGCTGAGCTTACTGCTGCACCACACCCCACTGCCCCATGGCTAATGGGCAGCATTAGTCCCCTGAATCTGAAAACCCTTCCAGGAGGCATCAAGAGCACCCATCCTTCCAACAGGCCCTGGGGCAGGCAGGAGGGAATGGATGGGTTGCACATTTACCTTCCCTAGGACTAAATAAGCGTCATAGTTTAACCCAGTGTGTTAGGTACACACCACACTGCTGCTCGCTCTGACACTGGGTCATGTGTGCTCCCCCAGCCTGCTCACTGGTGGGGTGGGGTGAGAAACTGGGAAGTCCTTGACTTAGTGTAAGCACTGCTCAGCAACAACTAAACCATTGTGTGTTATCAACATTACTGTCACGCTAAATCCAAGACACAGCATTGTGCCAGCTACTAGGAAACAACTCTATCCCAGCTGAAACCAGAACAAGATGCTGGAAACTGCTTACCTCCCGTTTCTCATCCCCCAGCAACTTCCCTCTTTTATGATGGCTCACCTGCTGTCCCCAGCGTTGGCCACATACAGCTTTCCTTGGAAATAAAGGGCAGCCAGAGCAGTGCAGCCTCCGGTCTGGTTCGTAGCTTCCATCTCCTGGCCTATGACTTCATCCTGTCGGTTTGAACAAGGTTGGAAAGTGAATCAGTGGAGCTGCTGCGTTCTGCAGCTGCCTCATGCCTCCCAGCAGAAATCCAGAAGTAAAACTGACTGCAGATGGGCTGTGGGGAACCGTGCAAGCAAGATGAAGGACAATGGTGCCTTGGTACAGCTAACAAAGCTCTTACTACTGGACTAAGGACCACTTTAGGAGCGTGATGGGGAAATCTCACACTTGTATGTGCTGTACCAGTGTGACATTAGCCATGGTCTAGCCTTAAAGAAATGCATCCCCATGGTGCAGGTTAGCGGGGATGCTGTAGCTTTGGGTTAGCACAGAGAGAGATGGGTCAGCATTGGTGATGTGCAGTAGATCTGAGGCAGACCTTGGGCAGCTGACCCAGTGTGATCTCAGGATGCTTAAAGATCTGGCTCAATGTTCCTGCCTGCTCCATGAGCTGCAGACCTTACCCACCCCAGGCAGTGGGGAGGGAGGGACAGACTGCCTGCCTAGGGCAGCGGGACCAGTGCCCTGCACTCATGGGGTACTCACGCACTCCTGGAAGGCGTTCTCCAGGGCTCCCACCACCAGGTCTTGTGCATGGATGTGCTTTTCCTCCACAAACTGGGGGTCACTGTCACAAACACATCGCCCGCTGAGATGCAAGGGGGGCTGGGCCTCTGTGATGCCTCCCACAACCTCCTCCAGCTTCTGTTTGATGCAGTAGTGCAAATAGTTGGAGGCGATGATGGCAGCTTCTGGGCCACCGTGGCCATCAAACAGTGCCCAGTAGTAACCAGTCAGAAACTGCGGGGAGGAAGAGGGATAAGACAGTAAACAGGGGCTGGAGATGGTACAGATGGCAGGCTTGCAGCCAGGAAATCACTGCATGTGTTTTGCCCAGCTTTCCCAGCCCAGCTACCCTTCCCTGCCAACAGTTATCTCCTGCACCGCTCAAACTCATGTGATGCCAGGTTCATCATCTGCGCTCTAGTGGCTGCATTCACAGCCACCCACCCTTGTGCTCTGTTCCTCTGTGGTGTAGGGGCATGTTACAAGAGGCAAGGCAGAGTCAGTCCTAGGTAAGTGCATCCTGTGGCTCATGCTGCTGTCCCTGAGTGCTGACAATGCGCACTGGCCCTTGAAAGCAGAGACACAGACAGTACAGAAAAGGCGAGGGCACCAAGTAAAGGGCTTGAAAGACCTCAAACGCACGGGCCTGCCTGAGGGCTATACCTGCGTGGAGCACAGGATCAGCCATTCCTCGTCCTCCTCCAGGCCCGGCTCCCTCCTCCGGATGCTGATCTGGCAGCAGGCTGCCTGGTCCTCATTGAACTCCGACTTCTCAGCATTGATAACCCTGGGGGTGCAAGCGCTCCAGGTGAGGTGTGCGGACACCTCCCCTGCTCCCAGCCACAGCAAACACCCGCACCCGGCCCCTCCCAGCCCCGTGCTCCTGTTCCAAAGGCAAGGATCGCTTTGCTGGGGACCTATATAAAAAGTCCTGGATGTGGGGGGAAGGCTCGGCCTCAGACACAGGGACCAGTGCATGGTTATGGAGCGCCCTGGCCTTCGGAAGCCCTTGCCAGCAGCCCACACTGTGCTGTCTCCTTGATGACACAGTGAACTGCAGAACCACCACTGTTTTCTCTTCCAGCCTTATTAATGTTTATCCCTGGTTGGGACTTTGCTCTCCTTGCACAGGTCCTGTCTCCAACCTACGCCATCCCCTAGTGACGTGCGTGGCCAGCTCCTGAATGGAGTTCTGTCTGATCCATCTGATCCTCCTCATTCCTCTGTTTTAAAGGCGCTTTGTGAGGAGCAAGGGGACAGACACCAGGTCCTGCTGACCTCCAAACACACCTCCTGCCCCAAACATCCCCCATGCGAGGGAGAGCTGCCTGCCCAGCACAGCACCCTCATGGGAGAGCCAGCTCCCTGCAGCCAGGCAGCGCGGGGGACGGGCCACACAACAGCGTTAAAGTTACGGTGCGAACAGCACCGCATGAGGGGGTGAGGTACTGGAACTGCGCTGCTCCTGCTCTCGGGGCTGCCCCCGCCGCCAGCCCCGGCACGGAGGGAGGAACGGGCAGGGGAAAGCGCGCAGAGCATCGCACCTGCAGCGCGCTGTGCCCGGGGGAGGCAGCGGCCCCACTCCTGCGGGCAGGGGAAGGAGAAGCCCCCGTGCTCGGGCTGGGGCAGATGCGGCGTGCGACCACCCCCCATGGCACCTCCCAGGGCTCCCCATGACTCATCCGTACACCCCGCAAGGGCCCCCTCACCCCACGCAGACCCTGGGCATCCTCCCCAAACGCTGTGAGGCCCCCTAACCCCTCGCCCCCCAACCCGGACATTCCCAGGCGCCCCCTTCCCGAGGCGGCCTCGCTGCCGGCCCGCACTCACTCGGCGTAGCCCGTCCCCCAGGGCAGGGGCCGCTCGGGCCCGGTGCCCCGCACGACCCGCCCGTCCCGCGGGCTCTCCTCGGTGCCACCACGCAGGAACTTGGGCCGGCGGTAGCTGAGGGCGGCGGGCGGAGGGCCCGGCCCAGTTCCCGGTGTTCCTCCGGGCTGCTCCGCGGGGCCGCCCCGCCGCAGCCGCCGCAGCCACTCCGCGGCCATGGCGAGGCCCGCCCCGGCCTCCAGTGGTGCCGCTGAGCTCCGCCAGGGGGCGCCGCAGTGCGGACCCGGCTTCTCCCCGGCGCGGCGGCTGCGGCTCCTCCTCCCCGGGGCGGTGCAGGCGGCGCGGCGCGGGCGGCGGCTCCAGGCTCCGGAAGCGGCCGTGGTGCCCGCGGAGCCGTTTCCTGCCCGGGACGCGGCGGAGCCGGAGCGGAGCGGAGCCGAACGGAGCCGAGCGGAGCCGAGCCATGACTCACCAGACCGGCATCCACGGTAGGCGGCGGCCGCCGAGCTGCTGGGTCCCCACGCTTCTTCCCTCGGGGTGGGCTCGGACCGCGCTCCACGAGCTGGGCTGCTCCTCCGCACGCCCATCGGGAGGCACCTTGAGCATCCCCCGGCCCGGTGCGGCCCGGTGCGGCGGGCGGTGTCGCGGTACCGATGATGGGGGCGATCGGATGAACCTTCGCGAAGGAGCCGGCAGGTTTCCCTGCAAGTAGCCGGAGGGTGGGGGAGGTATAGAGCCAGGCTTAGAGCGGTTGGGTGCTGGTAGAAAGGAGGTGCTGTCTTGGAGAGGCTCTCCTCACGCTTTGTCTGGGCTGATGCTCGGTAACACCGCTGGTACAGGCGCCTTCTGCTGCGGCAGCATCTTAACCCCCGCAGAGCTGCTTCGCCGCAGCCCCCGGCCACGTCTGCCCGCCATGGGGTGATGCTCGGCCGCGGCCCTGAGCCTGCTCCCGGCGGGGATGCAGAGAGAGCCTCGGGGGATTCCTGCCTGGCTGCGCCGTGGTGCCTGGGGGAAGCCCCGCTCCCTCTGCTCGCTCCCCGCGGGACCGGCCAGCACCCCGAAACGACAGCTTTGGCGCTTATGGGTGCGTTTGGTGTGTGACTGTGCCCGTGCCCGCACGGTGTTCCCCTCCCGCTCCCCGCGGCCAACTCCATTAACAGCGGTAATCAGGAGTAGAGGTGCTGCATAATTTATGTAACCGAATCAATATGCGAGCAGGGATGCGGGAGCCGCTGGCCCTGAAGCCCTGCTCCGTGCCAGTCTCGCCCTGCTGTGTGCCCCAGGAGGGGAGATGGGACATTGGCCCTGCAGCTCCCTCCCTCACAGCCAGCACCTTCACACAAGGGTGGCTGCTGTTCCTACGTGGCAAGAGCATCCTCATTCCTCGAGTGCACGGTTGAAAGCATCCTTCCTCTCCAGGTGCTTGTGGAGGAGCTGTAGTTGACAAGTGGTTCGTGATGGCACTTAGATGTTTCTCCTGCTTTGCCTGGGAGTGCTGGTAGCTGGCAGCTTCTGGGCTCAGATTTGCTGCTGCTGGTTTAAGCGGAGGCCCTGAAGCTGGATGTGCTCCCCACTGTAAACACTCTAGTTAAAGAGCCCAGCAGGATGCACCCCCCTGTGCCAGCTCTGCAGAGCTCCCTGGTGGGCTTGGTGCAGGCGAGGCTGCCCGTACCCCAGGGGACTGCTGCCTGTTGCTCCCCTCTGAGCCTGGGTGATGCCGCCCTCTCTGGCACCCCCACGACTGCTGGGGATGCTCTGGCTTAGCGAAGCCAATGAGAGTGCGACCTTCACCGGCCTTGGCTGCCCCCCAACCGAGGCAAACCCCACTGGGAGTCGCAGTGAGTTGTCGCTGCCCGAGGGCGTTACGTGCCCTACCAGCAGCTCTGCTGGAAAGGGGAAGAGACTCTGACTTCCCCTGGGGAGCTGGGGCCAGTGCAGGGTGGGGATAGACCCAGCAGCTCTGCCTGGCAGCAGATCCCCCAAGGTCCCACCAAGGGGTGGCGTGAAGAAGACCTTGTGCTGGGTGATGGCTCTCGCAGCGTCTTGGGCATCCCTGGCTGGCTGGGCTCTGGGGTTCTCTCCTCCCTGTCCTGCTGCCTGGTCCCTCTTCCAGGAAGTGGCTGTTTCCTCTCTGAATGCAGATCTGCCCCTCCTGGGGGTGCTCTGGGTTTTAAGGCCACCACACTGGTGGGGTGTTGAAGTATCTCAGTCCTCCCCACCCTGGTACAGTGATCAAATTAAACTCCTCTGCTCAACAGAGAGCAGGTTCAATACCGACTGAGGAACAGAAATCCTGCTCCTACTTCCATCCCCTCTGCTGAGACCTGTTGTTTGCCGAGGAGGAGGAGGGATTTTCTGCATCTTTCTGGTTTCTTGGGCCTTGTTATGCAGGAAGGCATTTGCTCCTGGACCTGCTGCTGCCCGACTTAGGGGAGGTTGTGGCCAAGCTGCTGAGAGATGCAGGTTGACCCTGTGCTAGATCAGTGAGAGCAGGGTGATGGGGTTATAGGGAGCCCCCGGAGCAGCCCCCTGCTGTGATGCTACTGAGTCATCCCGGCTGCTGGGGAGAAGTGGGTTGTCCCCGGAGAGGGGGAGCAGTGGCAGTGAACAGCCGCAGATTGGGGGGGTTTAATCAGGGCTGAGCCTTTCACACAGAGGCAAGAGGTTAATTATTATCTTTTTAGGTATCTGTGGCAGCTTCCTTTAAGGTTCTGGTGAGGAAGCAGGGCTACCATGGAGACTGCTGGGCTGGGGGGGTAGCTGGAGGCTATCGAGGGCTGCTGTGGGCTTTTTGGGGCTGGAAATCTGCTTCTTGGAGGATTCAGTGGGGATTTTTGCATTAGATGGGGGCAGCTTTCACTGTTTGAGTTTAAAACCTTAGGAAGGTGATACTAGGGCAGGGCTTCCCTCCGAAAGTGAGCATGAAGAGGCTGTAAATGCAATGAGATCGCTGCCGGGGTCTGCCCCTGTGTCCCTGTCCTTCCCGACACTCAAATCAGTGCTGCCTTTCCTTGGCAGAGCAACCTGCAGGCAGGGCAGGACCATGTGTGCTGGCACTCCGCTTTGCTCTAAGGTGCCGTGCTGCCAGCTGGATCCAACCGATGCTGCCCACAGGGTGGATGCTGCACAACCTGGAGTGATGGAAGGGCTGAGTGAGAGACCACCGTCTGAGGTGGTGAGGTGGAGACGAGGCAGGTCCCTGGTCTGTGTGTGCAAAACCCAGTACTGAGAGGCATGAGGCTGGAGGCAGGCAGGTGGCTGAAAGCCTCTGGGCAGGGTTTTCTATAAGCACCAGGAGTCTTCTGCGTGAAATCCTGCTCAGCCCCTTGGAAAACTGGGAGCAAAGCTTTGCTGTGCCCTCTCTTGCCGTTTTCCTTCCCTCCTCCTTCTGTTTTATCCCGACATCTGCGGCTTTTTCCCAGAGAAAAGGTTTCCTGCAAGGACATGTGTTTTCTTTTTTCCATGGTGAGGGATAGAATCCTCTTAGTGCTTCAAGCAGGCAGCCACAGCCATCAGCAGGAAAGCTCTGTGCATCGGGCGTGTTGAGCAGGCGCTGCGTGATGGAGTTACACTGGGATAGACCGAAAAGGAGGGGTTTTAGCACCAGCAGCAGCTATTTTGTGCCTGATGTAGTTGTGCCCTTGCTTGCATGCCCTGGAATGAGCTGGGCAGAGCTGCTTGTACTGGGAAATAACCGTAGGTGCAGATGTGTTTTACCCATCAGCATCCCGACTGCTGTCTCGCCAAGCGTCCCTGGAGCTTGGACAAGTTTTGCCCAGGTTTGTGGCTGGATTTGTGGCTGAGTTTCCCCGTTGCACCCCAGGCACGCTGTGCCCTGCCCAGTGAAAGGGAAGCAGCCACTTGGAGTCGCATCAACTTGAAGATTATGTCCAGGGAATGAAAGATTGATGGCCAGAGGCTCGGGTTTCCCGTCGGGAGTGCAAGGTGACTCAATGTAGTGAGAGAGGCATCCGTTTCAGGGAGCATGTATTATTGATCTGGGAGCTGGGTACTGTCGTTGGGATGCGGGGGGATTGGGGAGGGTCAGACAAGCTGAGAACCTGTTGTTCCCCCAACAGGTGAGTGAGAGGATGGAGGAGGAAGAGGTGCAGGGGGGTGGTGGGGCTTTCACCTCCATCTCCTGTGCTTGCCTGGGTTGTGCAGGCGGCTCCGCTGGCACCCTGACATCCCTGCGGAGGGACCAGCCCGTTGCTGTGGCTACGGCTCTCACTGCTGTCTCCCTCCAGCCTCCTTCCAGCCCGGCTCCACTTGGATAAGCTTATCAGGGCTGTCAACACCAGCAGAAAGGCTCTGTTTGGGGAGCAGCTTTGGGGCAGGGTGGTACCCACAAGCTGCTCGGTCTCGCAGCGTTTTAAGGCAAGCGTGTGCCTTTCACCGTGAGCTCTTCTTTGGCAGCTTGCCTGTGTGGTCAGAGCCACCTAAAGGCCACCAGCGGGCAAACCACAGTCTCCCTGGATGCCCTGGTGCCAGCTCTGCTCAGCCCTCCATCCCAAAGGGGTGGCAGGAGCTGCTGGGCTGGGAGGGTTTGTGGTACATGGGGACTGGGATGCGCTGTCAGTGGGCTGTGGCTCGTGAAGAGGGGACAACTCATCTGCAGCCTACAAAAGGTTGGAGAGGGAGGTGCTGCACGACGCTGCTGGAGGCGATCTTGGGGCTGTCATGGGGGGGTGGTTGAGGAGGCACGGATGCCCAGCATCCCATCGCCAGGAGGGTCGATGGCTGGGGTGCCTTGTAGAAAGGCCAGAAGGTTCCTCAAGATGCCACTGAGCTCACCCTGCCTCCAAGCAGCAGCATCCCCGGAGGTTTGCCAGGGCAGGGATGGAGGCACGTTGTCCTCCTGGGGTTTGCTCACTCCCATCAGGAGATTGGGACCTGATGTTTCTGGCTGGAAACCCACAAGCTGTTTGTGCTCTCCTCTGGGCTGACCAGCCCTGGCCCCTTCAGTCGCTCCTGCACACTGCACCTTGTGGCATATGTGCTGTCCAGCCTCTGCCTTGCTCCTTGCCGATGCTGAGCTTTGACATGCTGTTTGTGCTGTGCCCACAGCCTTGTCAGCACCAAACAACGTGGTTATGCTCTTGTTTGTGCCCTCGCAGATGACTTTGCCTGCAATAACATGAAGCGATTAACCTGAACTTGGCTTGCGACCCACCTCTCTTCCCTGGAACTGCTGGACCCTGCCCTGCATCATTGCACCTGGTCCTTCTAGTTCCAGTGCTGGGCTTCCTATTGAGTTTCATCCTATCTCTTCTATTCCCAGCCCATTTCTCCAGCCTGCCAAGAGAAGGGGGAATTCTCCAGAGCTCATTTCCGTCTCCTCTAGCTTCCCACCTCAAAGCTGCAGGAAGCACTGCTGCAGTGCCACAAGTACTCAGTGAAATGTGGACTAAACCTGGAGCCACCACCTGGGTCTCCCCAGGAGACTTTGCTTGATCCAACCTCTGGCCCCTCCTACACTGAGAGATCACAGAGTCATAGAACAGTCGGGGTTGGAAAGGACCTTAAGATAATCCAGTTCCAACCCCCCTGCTATGGGCAGGGACACCTCGCTCTAAACCATCTCACCCAAGGCTCTGTCCAACCTGGCCTTGAACACTGCCAGGGATGGAGCATGCACAGCTTCCCTGGGCAACCCATTCCAGGGCCTCACTGCCCTAACAGTAAAGAATGTTGAACAAGACCGGTCCCAACACCGATCCCTGAGGGACACCACTCGTTACTGGTCTCCAGCCGGACATTGAGCCATTGACCACAACTCTTTGCGTGTGGCCATCCAGCCAGTTCTTTATCCACCGAGTGGTCCATTCATCAAATTGATGGCTCTCCAATTTAGAGACAAGGATGTCGTGTGGGACAGTGTCGAACACTTGACACAAATCCAGGTAGATGACATCAACTGCTCTACCCCTGTCCATCAGTTCTGTAGCCCCATCATAGAAGGCCACCAAATTGGTCAGGCAGGATTTCCCCTTAGTGAAGCCATGCTGGCTGTCACCAAGCACCTTATTGTTTTTCATGTGCCTTAGCATGCCTTCCAGGAGAATGTGCTCCAAGACGTTGCCAGGCACAGAGGTGAGGCTGACTGCTCTGTAATTCCCCGGGTCATCCATTGTCCCCTTCTTGAAAATGGGGGTTATATTTCCCTTTTTCCAGTCGGGAACTTCACCTGACTGCCATGATTTTTCAAATATGGTGGCCAGCAGCTTAGCAGCTTCATTCGCCAGCTCCTTCAGGACCCATGGATGGATTTCATCAGGACCCATGGCCTTGTGCACATTCAGGTTCTTAAGATGATCTCAAACCAGATCCTCTTGTACAGCAGGCCCAAGGTCTTCATTCTCACAGTCCCTGCATCTGCCTTCCAAGACTTGGGTGGTGTGGTCAGAGCCTTTGCCAGTGAAGACCGAGGCAAAGAAGTCGTTCAGAACCTCAGCCTTCTATCCATGATGCATGCAGTTCTGTGCCCCTGCCATAGAGCTTCACCACCAGCGTGTTTCCCAGACTGCCTTCTGACACATGGGGACATGTTTAAAAGCTGAGCTGGGGCTTCTGAAGCGCATAGGGCTGTGGGTCTTCTGGAGGAAGTTGGGTTGACCTCATGCAACTTGGCCATAGTGGATCCCTGCTGGCTATAGCCCAAGTTGGGTTTGTTTCTGGCCTCTTGTTCCAGGATTTTCCAGGAACCCATATCTAGAGGGTGAGTTGGACGTGTGGGCTCCCATCCAATCCTTTGCCCATCTCTCCTCCCTTTCCCTGATCTGTAGGGTTTCCCCACACGTGGCTTTTTCAGCCCTGGAGTTGGGTCCTGGAGACCTCTTGGCATCAAGATACCACTGGTATCTCTGCCTCCATCTCAGGGTAAGGTCTTCCCCCTGCGTGTCTTCCAGAGCTGGCCATCTACGTCTCTATTAATATGGCACACGAGCCAGCTCATCACGGCTGCTGTGCCAGTTAAGCCGTAATCGTGCCCAGTGAAGCAGTTGCTGAGCTCGTGCTGAAAGCCCTCGCTGGCTTATTCCTCTCCCTCCTTGCTGGCTCCCTGGCTCTTGGCTCTGCATCACAGGGGACAGAAGGGGACGTCAAAAACACCCCAGTGATGTTTTTATTTAAATGAAAATTGCCCTTTTTTTAAATTTTTGTTTCTAATTTCAGCAGAATGCTTTCTTTTGTTATTATTATTTCTTTATTTCAGCAGAATTAAAGCTTGGAAGCCTGCTCTGAGGTTTTGTTGAAACCTTTGCTGCTGCGTCCTCTGGGAAGCATCTCCCTCCTTGGCAGTATCCTTGCAGTATCTCCCATCCTGCACTCAGCTTCTCCAGCAGCATCCCTGCTTTTCCCCATCCCCTTAAGCCCCTTTGTACCCCCCAGGTCCCAGTGCTTGGCTGTCCCTTGTCAATCACTCAACTCTGAGTCATCCCAGCTCTCATCCCAGTGCTTCTTGGCATTCCAAGTGGGATGGAGGGTTGTGTTTGTGCAGACTCCTGATTTTCCTGACCCCCTTGTGTTCTGGGAAGGATGGGCTCAGGCCGGAGGGATTTGCAGCCCGCTGGCACTGCAGGACGTTCATCTTTCTCCTCTGAAGCTTGTGCTGTAGGAGCATCCAAGACTGATGTTATCCTCTCCTATTTTGGTAGTGTAATAGCAATCAGTGGAGCTTAATGCTTATTAGGAGCTTTTGTCTCCTGCATGAGGTTTGCTGGTGTATAAATGTCTCTTTTTTCCCCTCCTCTTCCGCCTCATGTTGTTTCCAGTAACCACAGATGCTGCCAGAAGGAAACAGACACTCTCAATGGGGAAAGGGGCTAAAAATATCAGAGCATCTTTGGGTGGCAACAGCAGGAGCAGGGTGAGCTCCCAGCCGGCACTGGGAGGGGATGAAGGTCTGCTCTGGGAACAGGGAGAGCCATGTGCCTCAGTGCTGATGGAGGGAGAAGGATGGTTTGCTCATGGTGGGGTTATGCCAGCAGTAACTTCTGTGTGTACCCTAAAATGCCATTAGCGACTCATGTGCCTTCACTGGAGTGTCTGTGCCTGTTCCCCCTGGGATGGCATCTCTGGGTTTGGATGGGAGCACTGCTGTTGGCAGGGTATCAGCTGCAGCTTTCTCATTTGTGCCTCATCTCTCTATGGGAGGGGAAGCCATTGGACATCTCTGTGCTCAGGGCAGGCTTTGAGCTGGTGGTGGAGCAGATGTGTCTTGGATGTGTCACTGGGGGGACAGGCAGATGTTCCCTGGGGGCTCCCCAGGGCATCCTTGTGTCCATCTCTCTGCCTGCATCATCATCAGTGTTTGTGCATGGGGACAAATCTGTGCCCACTCCTTCTCCCTGGGGGCTGGGGGGCTGTCTACAGGGGAGGAGAGCAGCCCCTGTGTCCTTGGATAGGTGATGGGTAACATCGAGGCTCCCCAAAGGTGATGCTGGGGGGCTTTGTGAAGAGTGATACCCACTGCTGGTGGGGCTGAAGCAGAATGGGTGCACGAGGTGGCTTGTCCAGCACCTTCCAGCTGATGTAGGGATGGCTTTCTTTGCAAAGTGCCTTGACCGTGGGTGCTGTCGGGCTCCAAGGGACCAATGCAGGGCTCCCACCTGCAGCTCGGTGGTCAGTAATGGACAGGCAGCACAGCGAAGTGCTGGGAGCACGGGGCTGCTGGTGGCAGATCCCAGTGTGGACTAAGGGGCCTCTGCCCAGGTCTCTAATCCTTGCAGCTCTGGTTTCTTTAGTGTTTCTACCAAGCAGAGAGCTGCCTGTGCCTTTGAACCCACAGCACCCCTTGACTGTGCAGCCCCATCAGGAAAGAACTGAGGCACGTAAAGGGGCTTTCGGGGGGAGCCAGGCTGGGAGATGCTCCTCACTGGGGGGGGCTGCACCCCTCCAAGTTGCATCTCTTGGACATTTCCTTCCCATGCTGCATGTCCAGGTGGGACGGGAGCTCTGCACCAGTGATGCGATCAGGATGGGCAGATTAAGGCTCCAGCACTGGTGTGCACTGCCCCTTCAACATCCACTGCCTGCCGTTATCCCTGGTAGGATGCCAAAGACTGGTTGCTGGTGCCTGGTGCACAGGGAGGGGGGATGAGGAGCAACCAAAGCGCTTCCAGCTCTGGAGCAACCCCTGGGACCGTTGCCTTTCCCTTCTGTAGAGGCTCAGTTTCAAACCAGTGCCTCCAGCCCGGAGCCACGCTCATCCCAGCCACCCCGGGAGCAGCATCCCTGACACGTGTCACAAGCCCAGGATGTCACAACCTGTCAGGACATCTTCCAGCCACCCTCCATATCCAAACCCTACCGCTTCGTGAAGGGAGCACACTTGTCACTTGAGCTCTCCGTGCCTGCGCCGGCCAAGCCGTCGTCTAAATTTGGGTGATTATGTTCACGCAGGCCAAGTATCATGTTCTCTGGATCACATGCGCTCCCAGCTGCTGTTTAACGCCGAGGCCTCGGGCAGGCAGCACTTTGCCCCCAGCTGTTTGGGTTTTGTTGTTATTTTTATTACCTTTTTTGGGGGAAAAGACAGATTTTTGAGCTGTTTTTAAGTCTCTCTCCTCCAAGGGGCTCCCCCCCTTGCCAGTGCCGTGCAGCCGGTGCCTGCTTCCACTGCCCCATCTCATCACCATGTTTCTGGTTCTTTCAGCCACCACGGAATTAAGGGACTTCTTTGCCAAAGCCCGGAACGGTTCCGTTCGGCTCATCAAGGTCGTCATTGAGGACGGTAAGTGCGGTTTCCAAGTGCTCTGCTTTGCACCCTGTCCATTCTGTGTCACCTCCGTCTCTCCTCCTTTCCCCTTCGCCGCTGTGCTGCCAGCGTGGGTTTTTGGAACCCCAAGGCACGAGGCAGCCCAGGCCTGAAATACAAGCCCCAAATCTGGGTGTGCTGGTGAGCAGCAGCTACTGGAGCCCTGGGGCGCAGCAGCTTTGCTGGTGTCTGGGAGCAGGGCTGGGTGGGCTCTGGGGGACTTGTACTGCTGCTTGTACTGTGGGAGCTGTGCAAGAGTGGTGGGTGGCATGGGACCTTGGTCAGGGGTGGTAGGCGGCATCGTCCTCCTTGGACATGGTGTGCCTTGCCAGGCAAGGAGATGCTCAGGGCAGGGATGGGTGAGGGGTGCTCCTTGGTGTGGGGCTCAGCATGGGACCCGGATTGCATCCCACAAGGGATGATGCTACACTCTGAAACCCATCCTGCCCCAGTCTCTGCCCTCATGCATGGGACTGCCCCTAGCCGAGTTTGCTGGCACCAGTCTGCCTTGTTTGTCCCATGCCTTTGGGTGGCCTCTACATCTATCAAACAAACAAGTGGAGCAGAGCACTGATTGAACATCCCAGCGGGGAGCCTCCGTGGTGTAGGTTTTCCATCACCTCAGCCTCATACAATTGCATATGAATGACTTGTTTCTCAAGGCAGCAGGGACGTTAATGTCCTGCCAAGCTGCTGTCATCACCTTCCTCCTATCGGCCAGCAGGACCTCGAGGTGGACATAGTCATTAGGAGCCTGTGCTGGTCTTTGGAGGGGCTACAAAGGCCCATTTCAAAGAGTAGCATGGCTTGAAATGTATGGGGCACATCAGCAGGGCCGGTGCAGAGTTCAGTGGTGTTGGGTTTGCCCCTGGCGAGGTCTCCACGTGTTAGGATGTGATGCCTACGTTGTTCCTCTGAGCATCTTTGACAACATTTTTACTTTCTTGGCTCCCTTTGCTTTTAAGAAGTAGGAATTGGGTTTGTGTTAAGATAAGTCACAGATGCCCCTAAGCCTGGACTTTGGGTCATAGAGCTTGTGCCACTGACTCTGGGTTGTGGCCAGTGATGCCAGCAAGGGAGACGTTTTACTTTCAGTTAAAACCACGTCCCAGCATCTCCAGTCAGGCTAAATGGGATGTATTTATCTGTCCAATGTGTCATCATCGTGCTGCATGGACCAGCATCACTTGACAGTGCTTTGTGCTTCTCCCACCCTGCCGGCTCCTTTCCTCTGGCCTGGACCAGCCATGGGCGGTGCTGGAGGAGCTTGGGGGTCTGCAGGAGCTTCTGAAATGCAGCAGAGCCTGAGGCTCCTATGGGCAGCAGGGGGAAGGAGGAGAGGTGGGAGCAGCTCTGTGCTGAAGGGCTTGGCCTGCTGGGGACAGCGTGGTGGTGGTCCCACCAGCCTGGCACACAGACCTCCCATCTGCCTGCCCGCATCACTTGGAACGAGGGGCTTGGCCTCTGGCCACCACCATTCTGTAGCACAGGGGCCATCATCCTGCTGGTACCCACCAGGGAAGGACCTGTGAGCAGTAGTCAGTGGCCAGGCAGACGTCAGAGCCGGATGGACAGACTTGAGCAAGCAGACCCTGGATGGGATGTGTCCCAGGGTGTGCGGGGAGGAGCCAGCTGCCCTGCCTGTGCCGGGGATGTGGAAGAGGGACCTCTAGCTCTGCTCAATGGCTTTCAGGGGACCTTCTGCCCTGTTTGTGGAGCAGGCATCGGTGGATGGAAGGAGAGGAAGATGGTGCAAGAAGCCTTGTGGCAGATGCTCTGTGTCTGGGGCCCCAGGACAGCAGCTATGGCTGAGCAGCCCTTTGGGAACTCTGATGTTGCCTTTAGGGACCTGCAGGAAGAAGCTGAGGTTGGAAGGAGGAGTGGTGGGGATCAGGATGTGCACCAAGGGTGTGAAAGCAGCTTGTGGTCCAGCATGGTTTAGGTGCAGGGGCACTGCCGAGCCAGGCAGCCTGCCTGCAGTCAGTGCTGGGTGTACCTCGAGGGCCAGAAAGATGCTCCCAGCTGCATTCTGTCCAGCAGTGCCCTGCAGGAGCGGAGCCTGCAACAGCCCGTGCTGACAGCGATGCTTTGCCCAAGGGCGGCTGCTCTGTGCTTCCCTTTCCCAGTGCTTCCCAAGGAGGAAAATGTGGCCCTAAATGGGATGAGGAGAACTGCAGAGAGCCCAGTAGCAGGCAGGGGAGCAAGCGGCTCCTCCAGCCCAGGGGGAAGCAGCCTGGGAATAGCCTGGAGTGACTTGGCATGATCGCCTTTTGGGTGAGGTGTTGGGATGTTTGGCACATGGAGGCACCCATGAGCTGCCCATGAATTTGGCCACATTAAATTCCTTGGGGTCTTTTTAGGATTCCAGGTCTTTGCAATGCACGGATCTGTTTACAAGGCTTTAGTTTAGGGGTACATTGAGGGTTTTAGACTTCTCTTTCTCAAAACAGGTAATTTTGCTGAAGGTAAAGTGTTTTCAGCACCTTTTTCTCTGCTGTCCTTGTCCTTCCTCTACTGGTAGCATGTCCTTTTGTGTGCAGGTAATTACGGGTTCAGTGTGAGATAGCAGCTTCCATGGCATTGGGCAGGGAAGGGCTGCGCTGCTGTGGGCAGGGGAATGCCCTGCTTGGATGGGAAGAGCAATTCATCCCAAACTCTTTATTCTTCAACTGTTTTCCTTCAAAGCTTTCCTGCTGTGGGATTCGGAGCTGCTGAGCTGGATGGGTGAGGAGGGGGAGTCCCTGGGCTCCCAATGGGCAGCGGGGCAGAGGTCCAGGCAGGGTGCGTGCCAGGCTGAGCATCCCCTCAAGTGCCAACTGTCCAAGGCCCCGGTTCGTTTTGCTTTGGCACCCCCAGCCTTTTCTCCATCTTGTTCTGAGCCCAAACATCTCCCCCCAAAGACATTTCTACATCTAAAAATGGAATAAAAATACAGGCTGTTTTCCAGCAGCTTGCACTGATCATCTCCAGCGCCATCATTTTCCATCCCAAAGCTTGGTTTGACCCTCGCAAGGGGGGGATTTGTGTTTGTAGGATGCCTGCACCAGGGTTTAAATCCCAGCTGAGCATTGCCTGGCCCATGGGGCCCCGAGCCCCACCAGTGCTTGCGTAGCAGCTGGAAAAATGCCCCTCCAGATACCTGAGCTGCTACCACGTGTGTGAAGTATGTAGGTCACTTGCAGAAGCTGGGGCTGTCCTGGCAGCATGGTGCCTCCGCACACTGGGGTCTCTGGGACATCCCTGGTCCTCCCAAACAAGGGCTTTGGGTGTCAGCTCTGATTTTCACCCCTCTGTTGTGGGGAATTCGGTGAGAGCAGCTTTGGCTCATTGTCCTGGCCTTTGCTATGGGACCTTTATTTTCCTTAACACCCTCATTGTCCTGGCCTTTGCTATGGGACCTTTATTTTCCTTAACACCCCAAATCTAGGTGGTTCCTCATGTCCCTGATGAGGTATTCTAGTGCCCCCAGAGCTTGTCCAGGTGAGATGGGGGAGATCTCGTCTTCTCCCATGAGCAGGGAGGGATGGTTGGGGACCACATGGATGGAGAGAGCAGGGCAGAGGGAGGCTATGGATGGTTTCCAGAGAGGAGACCTCAATGATGAGGAGCATGGGAAGGGAGGAGATGGTTGGCCGGAGGCAGTGGTATACTGGCAGAAAACCAGCCCCTCCACAGCAGCCCCAGCCCCAGTGGCATCCCTGGGGATGTACACTCTGCACATGGCTCGAGATGCCGAGATGGCATCGTTGTCTGTTGGAGCTGCAGTGAGCTCTTAGACGAGGCACCACATGGTCCTGCAAGGTGAGCCTTGCTCCCGTCTAACACCACCTCTTCCATCTCTTTCCAGAACAGCTTGTGCTGGGGGCCCACAAAGAGCTGTCCCGGCGCTGGGATGCTGATTACGACGCCTTCGTGCTGCCCCTGCTGGACGAGCAGCAGCCGTGCTACTTGCTCTACCGCCTGGACAGCCAGAATGCCCAGGGCTACGAGTGGCTTTTCATCTCCTGGTCCCCCGACAGCTCCCCGGTGAGCACCGCACCGCACCGCACCGCACCGTGACACCGCAGCATGGGGACACCGCAGCAGGGGGACACGGGTGTGCCCTGGGAGGTGGAGGGTGGAGGAGATGCTGGCCAGGCTGACCTGGCACTGGGGCTTAGTTCACACTGTCCATCACTGTGCCAGGTTAAGAAGTGAAACTGCTTTGGGATGGGTGAATTCTTTAAGACGCAGTAAGATGCACTGGGACTGTGTCTCTGTTCCCTTTGCAGAGCTGTGGGAGGAGGTGGAGGGACTGGGATGTGGAGGGGGAAGCAGAGTGGACCACAAGGCCGGGATGGAGCCGTCCCACCATGGCTCTGGCCAAAAGCAACAGAGGGAAGAGCTGGTGCTGGCAGTGTCCAGCCTGGCCTTGCTCCATGTGAGGGCTCACACACAGTGACTGCTGGTTCGGCTCCAAAATCAGCCTTAGAAAGGGCCAGGCAGGCTGGTTCCCTTGGAGCTGTGCGTGGCTGGGCCGGCATTGACCCCTGCTGGGTGCCTTGTGGGGCTGGAGATGGTGTTGGAGAGCAGGCACCAAAGGGCTGGTTGGATGGGGGCTGCTTTAGAGGATGCCAGCGCTGTGGCTTAGAAAACACAGTCCTCTTGAGCACATCTCCATAATGGGCTTTCAGTGGGATCAAGCTGTATTAATGTGTGCTTGTCATATATGTATGTATATGTATTTATATATACACACGCACACATACCTATATATTGTATGTATTTTATATGATCTATATAGATTTATTGTCAATATATACATTTGTCATATATAGAAATATGTATTTGATATAGACATAACGACTATATGTTGTTATGTATTATTTTCTATATTATAACACACATATATAGAAAAGACTGTGCAATTTGTTGAGATATATCTAACATATATATATTATTATGTGTATACATATACAATTATAATGATATAGTTTTATGTGTGTACGTACATGTACATATACATGTGTCTATAATAATATATAGTTTAATATGTATCTCTCAACAAACTGCGGAGGGTCTTGTTTGCAGAACAGTGCACCAAGGAGCCAGAATTCTGCAGGTACAAGGCAGCCTGAGCTAGAAACCGGGTGCTTGTTCCAGGAGGGGCTGAGGTTCCCAGAGCCCCCCCAGTGGTGGGGCAGCTCTGTCTCATGGGGAGGTGCTGCTCTGCGGTCCCGTCGTGCTCCTCTGACCCCGCTTGCCACCTCCCTCCCTGCGCAGGTCCGGCTGAAGATGCTCTACGCTGCCACCAGAGCGACGGTGAAGAAGGAGTTTGGCGGGGGGCACATAAAGGATGAGATGTTTGGAACGGTGAAGGTACGGTGGTGGCTCCTGGGCAGCCGTTTGGGCTCGGCGCTGGGCTTTGGCAGCCTACTGCAGGCTTGGTGCCAAAGCCGGGTGGAATGTGGATGCTGTTGCTTTGGCAGGGGAACAGCTCCAAGGTTTGCCCCCCCACACTGTTTTAGTCTCCTGGGTGGCTGTTACTGCTTTCTCCTGCCTGCACGGCTGTGGTCCATGATGGAGACCATGGAAGAGGTGGGAGGAAGGCTTCTAGGAGATCCTGAGCTTTATGCTGAGGGGGAAAAGAAGTGCCAGGGGGTGGCGATGTCAGTTCAGCAGCAAGAGCTTTATTCGGCTGCCTTGGTGGGAGCTTTCTCCTTCTCTTCGGACCCAGCCGTGGGTGTCTGGGAAGGGGCAGGGTGCTCTGAATGGGCATGGGTGCTCGTGGGCACTGTTTAAATGAAATGTCAAGCACGGGGTTTGCATGGAGGCATCCTCGGGTTGATCGTCCTGGTAAGGAGAGAGCCCAAGATCCACTGGGTTGCTCAGATGCAGCCTGCAGCAACGACCAGCCCTGACGCTGTCCCTCTGCCTGCAGGAGGACGTGTCCCTGAGCGGTTACCAAAAGCACGTGTCGTCCTGCTCTGCCCCAGCCCCGCTGACCGCAGCTGAGCAGGAGCTCCAGCAGATCCGCATCAATGAGGTGGGTGTCTGCTGGCCCAGGGAGAAGGAGCCTCAGAGCACACAGGGATGGGGGATGCAGGGAGCAAGCATCTGAGCATCCCCGAGTGGCTCATTTGTACCGCGCTCTCTTGTACCTCTGCTTTTAACCCGTTCTGCCCTTGCTGAGTGGACCGAGCATCCTCACAGTCAAATTGGTAGCGTAAAGGGGAATTTAGGGACTGGCTTTTTTTTTGCACTTGCTAGGACGTGAGCTCAGGGCTCTGTCTTGCTCACCATAACTGGCACTCAGGAGATGGTGTGAGGCTGAAAGCAGGCAGCAGTTTCTAACCTCTAGGTACGGGGGCAAAAGCCAGAGCTGAGTTTGAAGTCATGGGGGAGGCAGGCAGAATTCAGACTTCTCTTTGGGCTGCACAGCATCCTTTCCCATACTCTTCCTCTATAAAAATGAGGGATGATGTCACAAGAAATACAGATCTTAGCTAAATTTGGGGGCTTATGCACTGGAAAATGATATGGAAGTGGCATGGGGTAGGGTTGGTGGCAAACAAGGCTGTAACAGCATTGTCTCCCCAGTGCCAACATCTGTGGTGCTGTGAAACATGAGGCAGGGAAAGGGATCCTGCTCACTGGTTGGGAAAACCACCCAGAAGCAGTATTTGTTGGGGTGGGAGGATTTCACTTAGATGCTGTGGAAAGGCTTCCTCTGTAGAGGAGCATCCCTCACTCTCCTGCCTGTGCTGGGGCTGTGGGGCTCATGGGTGGGCAGTTGAGGGGTGTTTGGGGGATACTTCCAAGGAGTGGTCTTCACTGGGTGGGTCTTAGCATAGATATCCCAGCTCCCAGCCAGGAGGGGATTGATTTGTGCTGGAGGATCCCATCTGGTGCCTGTGCTTGGAGAAGAGACAGATGCTGATGGTGGCTCTGCGGCTTGTTTGGCATCTTTGGGCATCGGTGCCATTGCCTTGGCTGGGCACTGCTGCAGGGTTAAGTAGTTTTGGCAGGGTTTTTTGGCTGTGTCTTGCAGGGTCCTGTGGGCCAGGTAAGTGGTCATGGTGCTTGTTTCTTGGCTGATCTGCCATGCTCTGCTTCCCACTCTTGCCTTTGTGAGATGAGATGCAGCTGCTGGGTAAAGGTGCTGCTGCCATTTGGTTTTGATGGGCCACAGAGATCAGTCAACACCAGAGAGAAACGGATGTTTTCTGCCTGTGGATGTAAAGGTGGGAAGCAGCTGAGCAGTGGGTGCACTAAAGGGTCTTTGTGTTGGTGCCGGGGCACAGAGCAGGAGGTGATGGGAGATCAGTGCCATGCCCACCTCCCCAGGGGAAACTCATGGCAAGCACTCCCATGTATCTGCCCATGCCCCCGCTGGCAGTTCAGGACCCTTCACATCCCCCTGGGTTCATCCAGTCTGTCAGGATTTGGGAAGTGACATAAGGGACAATGTGTCTTTAAAAGCCACCAGCTCACAACTGCTTTGCCGTGCCCCTCACCTGGGGCTGCTGCTGGTGGTGCAGACCTGCTCTCCTCTAATGGTGTAGATGCTCAGCCCTCTGAGATGCCCACCAGGTTTGCATCCTTCCCCATGAAAGTGGCTGAGTTTCCAGGCTGGCAGAGGCTCCCTTGGGATCCTCCTCGACCACCAGATGAGTGGGGAGAAGAGGTGTGAGGGGAAGAGCAGGGAGGTGATGGCTGCATGGCAGCACTGGCAGAGCTGCTTTTTACACCAATATAGGAAGGGCTCGGGTTCGCCCATCACCTGGGAGGGTGCTCAGCCTTTGGGAAAGCAGGTTTTAGGCTGCATGAGCCAAGCTTCCCCTTTGCTTTGAGGACTGGATGGGCAGAGGCAATGTTGTGAGCTACCCTCCTGCTTGATCACTGGGTAGGAGCTCACAGAAATTGCCGTTTGCTTTAAATATATGTGTGTGTATGTATGTATGCATGCATTTTAAATAGCTGGAAAACGCATCACCAGCTTTACTGAGCTGGAAGTTGTCAGCTGACTGGGGGCTCAGAAGTGGCTTTGAATTTGGCATTGATCTCCCTCAACACCCATGAGTGGGAGGTCTTTCTAGAAGATTCCCAGGCTGAGAATCACGCAGGGAGCCAGCAGAGGAGAGGAAGGTGGCTTTGGAGCTGGGGGATGAGGCAGAAGAGTGAAGAGGTGGCTGTGCCACTGCAGCATGTAAGGGGGTGTCATTGGTACCCTTTGGTGTTGGTGGGTGGGTAGAGCAGGGGCTTTGCTAGAGCCCCCCATGAAGGTTTCATTATGAGATAGAAACGGTCCTCAGAGCCAAGGTCAGCACCATGCCAGCAATGAGGAAGGAGCGGGACAAAAGTTAACCTAAACAAAAGGAGATGAAGCATCCCCCTTGCTGCCACCAGGGCTGGGATGAGGCACGGGCTCAGCCATCCCATGCATGCTTCTGGGCTGTGCCCTGTGTTTCCATGAGCCGGTTTTTGGTGGGTTTGGAAAGGGAAGGAGTAGGTACCACAGCAGTATAGGGGAGAGCTGGTGTTGCTGGGACAAGCTTCCACATCTTGGGATTCTGGGACTTCTGCATGATTCGTGTTACAGCTTGAGGTCTCTCCAGCTCCGCTGTAACCCTCCCAGCCCTGGTTTTGGTTTAGGGGAGGAAGATGAGGACCTGGAGGTGCTGGCAGTAGCAGTGTCCTTGCACTGCGCCTCTCCACAGGGTGGGACCAGGAGAACCTGTCTGTGTCCTCTGAACCCCTGCACGCGGTGATGGTGGGGCAGCAGAGCTTGGGGGGCAGCCGGACCCCCTGGCACTGCATAGCCATTGAGCAGTTGTTTCCCAAGAGCTGCGCAACCTCACCCTGCTCATCCTCCCCGATGCTTGGCATGGATAGAGGCTTGGGCATTCTTCCCCCTCCACAGCTTTAGTATGTGTTGGTCTGCAGAAGATGGCCCAAAATCTATTGCTGCACTGCAGGACCTCCTCCAGACCCTGCTTAGGGCCACCCTGGTTGGAAGGAGATGGGGCACAGACATGGGGATGTCAGTGGAGATGCTGCATGCGGCTCTGTCCTGCTCCTGCCCACTGCTGGTGTCTGCTCTGCCAGGACCCCCCTTCCCTGGCCTCCAGCAGAGCCAGGGTTCACCTCCACCCCCCTGGCATGCCCGTGTGTCCCCCACCCCTTCTCGTTCCCCACGAGACCCCCTCCATCCCCGCGCGGGGTGCTGCTGACGGTGTGTCTGCTCTCCCCACGCTCGCAGGATTCCTGTTCCCAGGACTCCAGCACCGAGATGGTAGGCTGCTCTGCCCGCTTGATGCCCTTTGTTCCTTCTCCTGGAGGTGTTCTTCTGCATGTTCTGCTCCGGGCACCTGGGCCGTCATCTCCCTGGGGTGTGGGTACCACAAAGGGCTGCTGTAACCAAGGGCAGCCTTGTGTCTAAATCCGCTCTGGCACTGCCCAGCTGGTTTTGAGTTGTGAAATGTCTGCGTTTCTCTTGGCATGCCTTGGTTTTTCTTCCTTTCCTCTATCAGGGGGAGGGAAAAGAAGAAAAAGTGTAATAGAAGAGACTGGACTGACTTTATCCAAAATCCCCCAAACTGATCCCAATGGAAAGGGACCCTCGCTCACTGCAGAGCACCTGGGTTAGCGCTGCTGGACTCTTTCCCTGGGGGGGTCTTGAGGTGGGCCGGGCTCCTCCGCTGTCGGGGTGACGCCGTCTCCCTGTATTCTGGCAGATGGTGGGGGGCTGCTGCTGCTGCCCATCGCTGGTAGAGTACCCCGGCCCCGAGGAGGTAATGCCGCGCCTGCCGCGTCCTGCCCCCCTTCCCCACTGCCGCCCCACGGCACACTGCACTGCGGGCAGGGACCCCGATGGAGCTGGCTGGAGGCACCCAGAGCGATGCGATGTCTCCACAGTCTCATTCTCTTCCCTCTTTGAAGTGGGGTTTGGTCTCCTGGAATAGGGGGTTTGCTTGGGGCCTGGCAGGGGTTGCGGGGAGGATGGCGGCTGGGGTCTTTCCAGGCCGTGGATCTACAATTCCCCAGCTCCAGCATAGAAGGCAATGGCTGTCTGCTGCAGTTAAACCCACCGAGGAGGGGCTTGCCCTCCTCCCTGTCAGGGACCCATGCAGCTGAGCACTGTGATTTCAGGGCTTTCCCTGTCATCTGCAGGTTGTGGTCAGAGATGATCAGAGGTGGACGCATACCAGTGCTGGACACGGCATCCCTACCAGGGACTCACTGGGAAACGCTGGTTTTGAGCTGGTTTTTGCTGCAGTGAAGTGATGGGGTGCGGGGTGCATGGCTGGGGATGGGTGATCTCCCAGAGCAGCGGTGCGGTGACAGGCATCACCACCCTGAGCTAGGCTGACTTCTGGTTGTTTAATGCCCTCGAGCTGGGTGTCGGGCAGCTCCTCGGATGAGAAGCCTTTTGCTGCAGGACTGGCCGGTTTCCCTTTCTGTCCCTTGTGCCCCCCTTGCTGCTCTCTGCCCTGACGCTCGCGTGGTCTCCATCCCCAGGTGAAGACTGAGATCAGTGTGGAGAGCAAGCACCAGACCCTGCAGGGCCTGGCCTTCCCCCTGCAGTCGGATGCTCAGCAGGCCATCCAGGCGCTCAAGCAGAAGAAAATCAACTACATCCAGCTGGTAGGTCCCTCACACAGCTTCTCCCCTCCCCTGCCTCCTGCTGCCACTCACTCCCCATCCCCTCTGCCCACCAGAAGCTGGACCTGGAGCGGGAGACCATTGACCTGGTGCACACAAGCCCCACGGAGATCGCTGACCTGCCCAAGAGGATCCCCCAGGACTCGGCTCGCTACCATTTCTTCCTGTACAAGCACTCGCATGAGGGAGACTACCTGGAGTCTGTCGGTGAGAGCCTCGGTGCTGGCAGTGGCTGGTTGGAACCTGTGCTGGGCCCCGCTCTCCCTGGACCATCACTCACAGGGGAGCAAACAGGGATGGGGATAGGGATGGTGGCAGGGGGGCTTGAGTTGATTTCCAGTTGCCATCCTCCCATGGTGGGTGCTGGCAAGCCCTCTGGTGGTACCATGCGTGCTGCAGGGCACTCAGGGTGCTGTGGTCATGGCACTGGGGAGGGTTGATGGATGGGATGGCGCACCTTCTGTCACTGAGGAAACTGGGACCATCAGGGTGGGATGCAGCTGCCTGCTGCTCCCTAGCCACAATCTCAGTGGTACGAGCCCTGCTCTCTTTTGCAGTCTTTATCTACTCCATGCCTGGGTACAAATGCAGCATCAAGGAGCGCATGCTCTACTCCAGCTGCAAGAGCCGGTTGCTGGACACCGTGGAGCAAGAGTTTTGCCTGGAGATAGCCAAGAAGGTGAGTGTGAGCCCACCCAGAGGCCATGGAGCAGAGCCCTGTGCTGGGGACTGCGCTGCAGCCTCGCTCCAGCCCCGCTGCCAGGCTCAGGTGGGCTTTGAGTGCCCCACAAGTGGGCGTCCAGACCCCAGGGAGCCGCTAACCCCGACTCCCGGGCACAGATTGAGATCGACGATGGAGCCGAGCTGACGGCCGAGTTCCTCTACGAGGAGGTGCACCCCAAGCAGCACGCCTTCAAGCAGGCCTTCGCCAAGCCCAAGGGGCCCGTGGGGAAGCGGGGACAGAAGCGGCTGATCAAGGGGCCGGGCGAGAACGGCGAGGACAGTTAGAGCCCGCAGGAGCGGGTGGTGAACGGACAGCATCCCCGCAGCGCTGCCCAGCTTCCTCTCCGCTGACCGTGGGCCTTCCCTCCGGCTCAGCCTAGGTTTTTCTTCCCTTTCCTTGTTCCTATTCCATTCCTTTTCTCAACATCAGGATGGTTTCTTGCACCCGGGGCACGGTGGTGGGGAGGGTTCGGGGGTGTTGGTGTTTCTTTTCCCCATGTCCTTATCGAGCCCCAGTGGAGGGTGGGAGCAGCAGGGCCGTGTCCCCCAGCCTTGCTCCTGTCCCCCCGGGGTCACAGCTGCTGCTCTCCGTGTTCCCTGGGTGACTGAAGGACACGCTTGCCTGCAGGCTGCTCTATGCAAGGGGATTCCTGGTTGCAAAGATGAAATGCTTCTTTCCCTGCTCCCCCGGCCCCCCGGTTCTGGTGCCCTGTCCCGCTCTCAGTGTGCACAGCCCCTCTGTCCGGGTCTGGAGTGATCCTGTATCCCCATGGGGTGGGCTTTGCTGGCAGGAGCTCGTCCTGGGGGGGGGGCCCAGCCAGCAGGAGATGGAAGGTCTCCCCCGAGGCTGGAGCTCAAGGTCACTGCCTTTGGGTGATGTTTGCATCCCCTTTTTGACTCCCCTCAGTAAGGCTTCTCCCCTCAGAGGGAGCCGTTACAGCCCTCACTCAGCCCCATCCCTGCTCAGGATGGGAGCCAGGGGTACCCCAAGCCCTGGTCCCCCTCTCCATGTGCCCCAGCTCCCACCGTCACTGGGTTTGCTGCTGGCTCTGCTCTGAGGCAGCCCCACGTTAAAACCCACAGGGGTTACCCCAGATCCTCACGTAGGGAAGCGTGCCTGGGGCTGAGGGTAGGAGGAGGGGAGCACCTTGCTGCTGGGTACGGGGAGGGCTCGAGAGCCGCTGCCTCCCTGGGCAGAGGGGCCGGTGGGACCTGCCCTTGCTCCCCTGCTGCGGCACTGACGGTGCCTATGGCCATGGCCGTGGTGCAGCGGGGGCGATGCTGGGGCGCAGGGCACACTGTACTGACCGCTCTATTTTCTAATGAATAAAGTATTTTTAAAGCAGTCGATGTTCTCTGGGGGTCCCCAGGGTCCCCAGGCCCGGCGCTGAGCCCCTGCTGGGGCTGCAGAGCAAACTGCTCACACACAGCCAGCTGGGAGCCAGCCACCACCGTGGCCTTCCTGCTGTGGCCGCATCCAGCCCTCGCCACCCCCAAGGACATTCACACTTTAATCACACAACCCTTTAATGTCCAGCAGAGGTTTAATGCTGGACCCGTCCAGCGATGGGCAGAGCTAGAGCCAGCTGTGGGAGATGGCATCCCTGCTCAGCATCCCTGCTCAGCGTCCCTGCTCAGCCCAGCTTTCCTTTGTTTAATGGGTGGTAATGACTGTGCCAGGCTGCAGTGCTTGTGGCTGCTGTTCGCTTGGATGGGGCCAATTCCTGCCTGGTGGAGGTAGGAGGGAAAGGAAGATGCTGAGCCAAGAGAAGAGCTGAGAAGGCGATGGGCTCTGTCCTGTAACTGCAGCTGGGCTGCGGGGTCCACATTTCCCAACAGCAGGTCCCAATGGAGCAGCAGAGTAGCATGTCCCAGCCTGTGATGGAGCCACCAAAACCTGCTGCTTCCCGGCTCTGCTCAGAGGAGCTCAGCTGCAATTAGGATATAAGCTTTATTCTTGTTAGTTATTATGGTGTCCCAAGCGGATTTCCCAGCAGAAATTCTCCCTATGTCCTGCACTGGCACAGCCCAGGCCTTGGATGAGTTTTGCCATGAGACCAGCAGGGTTTGCACCAGCTCGGGGCTGGACCACGTCTTGTCTTTACTCTCCATGCCCAGGATGAGGAGCTGGAGAGCTTGAGGAGCCAGGTTAAAATAAACCCCAAACCCAGCAAAACCCCAAAGTAAAGCAACAACAGCAAGGGTTTAACGCAGATAAAGAACCACCCGCAATGAGTCTCCTTTTGGCGCAGAGGAGGATGAGGAGGGAGGATGCTGCTATGCATGGAGCAGCCTCAGCCCCTGCGCCCCTCCTGTGCTCCGCAGTGTCCGGACTTGCCCAGATACCGGCAGGAGGTGAGGGGTGTCCCCATGTCCATCCCTGCCAGTGCTGCTGTTCCCTCCTGCCCCAGGGCTGCTGTGCGGGGGATGGCCAGGGGCAGCCCCAGGGACCTCCAGCTGGGGGGGGGGGGTGCCCGTCCCATTCACTCCCATCCCATTCTAGCGCATCCTGCCCCGTCCCATCCTCTCCTATCCCATCCCAAGCTGTCCCAGACCGCTGCCGAGCAGGGACACGCTGTGCAGCTCGTTCCCTGTGTGAGCCTTGTCAGGGTTCAGATTCGCAGCTCTCCCCCTGTTGATTTAGGCTGAACACCGGTAGAACAGAGTGGGGCAGAGCACGGAGGGTTGTGTGTGTGTGCTGGGGTCCCTTTGGAACGGGGGTTACGGAGCCAACACCAGCTCAACACTGAGCAATCCCGGGGGGCAGTTAAAGCACTCTCAAACCTGGCTGCTGCTTCCTGCCCCTGTGTCCCGTACCCAGCAGACACGCGAGGGGTCACACAAGCATTGCCCCCTGGCTTTAAGGCTGGAGTTAAACAAGCCTCCCCTGCTATGTACCGACAGCTCTGGGGTTTGAGGTGGTGCCTGGGAGCCCTGTGTTTGGGTGGCAGCCGCTGGTGACCCCATGCAGCACATGTGCCATGAGACAAGGCCACCCCACAGCAGCGTTTGCCCAGCGGGAGGGAGCAGCAGGGCACAGCCAGCTTCGGGATGAGGAGCCCGCTGCAGGTGGATGGAGCTGAGCACCCCCAGAGCCAGCCCAAGCACTCGGGTCTTTAGGACTTGCAGAGGAGGGTTTGTGGGCCTGATGGCAAACAGGTCACAGGGAAAAGGATGGAGCCAGGGTGGTTTCCCCATGGGATGCCCGGTTGGAAAAGCACAAAGTCCTTTGGCTTCTGCTCGCCTTGGAGCTGAAGCAGGAGCTGCAGGCGAGTTACACCTGGTTGTAAGCTGACCGAATTGGAAGAGCCCCCTGGCATCTGGGCTGTGGAACCACAGGTGCCTGCGGGAAAGGGAGATGAGCCCTCAAAAGCTCCGTATCCTGCCCAAAGCCCCCACTGTGGGATGGTGGCTCCAGGGAGGAAGGAGAGGAGAGGCTGGTTTCTCAAGGGGGTAAGTTTATCCAGGGTCAGCTTCCCCAGGACTGTACTGGTGTGGGTGGGAGCATGGCCTAGCCTGGGGATGAGGAGGGTTTGGGGTCAGGCTGGAGGGTGGCTGTGGCACAGGCTGTCCTAAATACCGCAGCCTGGCTATGCTGGGCCAGGGGCTACCCCTGCAGTAGGTTTCAGTGCCTTATGCCAGCATCAGCTGCAGCCCAGGTGCTCTCTGCCCAAGCTACAGCAGGTTTGCAGTGAGCCCCCACATCCCAGTCACTGCAGCAGGGCAGGAGGACCTGTTTACAGCCCTCTTTGCAAGGAGCTCCCTGCTGCTGTTCCCTGGGGAGCAGCAATTGTGGGCATCGCTCCCTGTCTCTCCCCCCTGCATCCCTTACCCCATGGCTGCCAAGAAGCTGGCTCTTTTCTGTGCTGAGGTGGCCAAACTGGGCAGGCAAGAGGATGGCTCTTGCTGTGCTGTGGCTGCAGCATCCCTTTGCGACCCCTTGCTGGGGTGGAGATTCAGGCCAGAGTCCTCCTCGTCCTGGAGAAGGCAGAAGGGATGCTGTCGGGAATGGTGGATTTCCCTCATCCCTTAAGGTCTGGCATCTCCCTGGGCAGTATCAGCTCATCCAGGCTCTGACTGGGGTCAGGGAGAAACCCCAAACCATGGGGCTTGGGTCCCACCTTCTGCTCCCTGTGAAAGCCATGGCTTAAAATCAATGCTCCCTTGGATGTTTCCCTGCATTAACATCTTGTTCTGCCTAAAATACCTGTCTGTCCCTACAGGCAGGGTATGAGCAGCTGTTTCCAATGATATAAAGCTTAGCTAATGCCAAACATCATCTGAAAGTGTCAGTTCAAGGTATAATCCCAGACCGGTGTGCAGCTGCGTGGCCCATTTGAATGAAAGGAAAGCAGATTTGGACCCATGGTGTGGTTATTTGGTTGTGCTGCTTGTGTGCAGTGAGACCTGCTGTGTGCATGTACCTGGAGCCTATATAGGGCAGGAAGTCCCACAGGGAGCAAAGCTTCAGCCTGGAGTTTTCAGCCAAGCATGGGAGCAGGAGGGAAAAGGTCTTTTGGGGGCTGGACACCCCCTGTGAGGTATTAATGTTGTGAGCCACCAGCACGTGCTATGAAACGCCCATTACCAGGCTGGAGCCCCTGCCCTGCTCTGCAGGTATCAGGGAGCTGTGGTGTGGTGGGCAGTGATGCAGTGTATGGTCCTCTCTGTGCCAAGAGACCAAGCAGGGCAACGTGAGATGTACCTCAGAGTAAACGGGGACAAGGCACCAGGGAACTAGAACCATTAATCTGGTGGTGTCAATAATGCTCCTGTTATTGTGATTATTATTGTTATGACTGCTATTCCTGGCTAGGAAACAGCATGGACTTAATGGCTGAAAGCAACAGCAGCAGGAGGAGTGCTCAGAATGGTTTTCAGAGGATTTGTTTCCCTGCAGGAGTGTGTGTAGGCAGGGGATAGCTGGGGCTGGATGAGTGTGCAACAGTGACAGCATCCTCATCTGTCTGCAGCCAAGTCCTGCTGGTGGTAGAAGCTGTTGCCTGGGCAGAAAACCAAGGCCCCCAAAAGCTTCATGGACATTAGTAGTTGCCCTGTCTGCACCTGGGACCTTTTCTCTGCCCCTCTATGCCCAGGGTGTCTCCCTGGCATCAACAGGCTGAGAAAGGCAGAAGAGTATGCGTTTAGGGCTATGCAGGGTTCAACTAGATGAATTCTTTTTCCCCAGACAAATATTAGCAGTGGCTTTACAGCTGCGTTCTTGCTTACTCTGCCACTGCCATGGGCTGTTTGTCTCAGACTTTACACATCTTTTATTGATTACATCCTGCATTATTTTTCCAGGAACCAAGCTAAAGCTTACATAAATATGGTGGTTATGCAACCCGCCATTCAGGTTTTGTTTGCTGGGAGACAATATGTGTTTGGTTTTCATCCTTTGGCCTTTTCATGGGGGAAAAATGATCCTTTCATTGGATTTGTCTTTCTTTTGCAGTTAAGTGATGGACTCCTGGTCTCTTGCTGGCTCTGCTTTCACACCCTTGCTTGCCATCGCTGGAACTGAAGGTAACTTGACCCATTTGATATTGATGGGTGTGGAGGTACTGATTGTCTGGTGCTGAGGTTAGCTGTGCTCCTGCCATTTCAAAGGTTGCTAGCTTTGAATCTTGGGATTTGGTTC